CTTTGTCATGGAAAGGAAAGATAAAGGCTATTTACATAACGAAAGATTTTTTTATTCCCCCTTTACATCAAAATTGACATGCAAATGTGAGAAAACTGCTATCCCATATCTCCCGACATTTCTCCACAATGTGTCGGCGTTATCTTCTTACCATGTGCAGAGTAAAACGGACAACTTCCACAGTCCCATCCGTCACTGAGGAGTCGCTCCTACTGCGGTATGCTTCCCATTAAAAACCCGTCAAGCTCCATGACATTACAGACCGATTATATCAATAAAGCCAGACTCGGATCAGCCAAAGACAACACGGACAGGCTGTGGCAACATTAACATTCCGCCGTGTAAAGATCAGGCTTAGAAGGGGAGAAACATCGATAGGATCCCATTAGTTAAGTGCGCCCTTAGGATACCCGAAATTTGATCAGAGATAGACCTTCTCCTTCCAGACACGAACCATTAGATGTTACAGCAAAATAAAGGAAAGGGGGGGAAGAAGAAAAAAAAGAACAGCTGCTCTCCTCCTCCTTTGAAACTACTCCTCCTTCAGCGGCCGAGGTTGTGCGGCAGGATCAGGATGAGCCCGGTGACGTCAACCTTTTGTTATCACCTTTAACACTTGCTTTTGCAGGTGCAAACACTTCACTTTCCTCTGTCGACATACGAGGAGGAGCTATTTGCAGACAAGCCGTGAAAGATGTCAGACTCTCCGTGCGGGGACGCACGCACGTCCGAATGATTATTTGAGATGATCGCACCACGAAGAAGAATTGAATGCACACATTTAAAGTCACGTTGCGCATGTCATTACAGAGACTTTTAACTTAAGTTCACGCTCCTCCAACAAGAAAAAAAACTATCAGCTCTGTCGGTGAATTACACCAGTTTATGTATCATTTAGCTCTGCCTAATCCACTCCACTTAACACACTGCAAAATACAAATAGCTAAAAGAAAAAAGCTCTTCAAAAGACTCCCTGTTCGCACAGTAAACACCACCTTTAACGTGAACTTAAGATTGTTTTGTGCCAACAAATAATGGTGGCTCACGTGGGACAATTAAGCCATGGGTGGAGGTTTCACCACATATAAACAGACGATGAAGGGGAACCGGTTCAAAGCTATAAACCTGCAGGTTACCAGTCAGAGTGCCAGCTGACTGCCCAGGCTCCTGGCTGGCTAAGCTAGCCAGACAGTCTGAAACATACACAGTCCCATTGTTGCCTTCTCAGTCTCTCCTGATATCTATGCCCCAATTCAAGAGGATGCCACACAGTACCGGGCAGCGGCCACCTCGTAAAGATGCAACTACTTACTCTCCGTTCACCTCGGCGAAAGGCATCGTTTAGCACGTCGCCATGGTTTATAACGGACAGATTTTCTCCCGTTGCCCTGCGCTGGCCGAATCACTGCTGCTGCTGTCTGCGGCAGCAACTTCCGGCGCATGCGCTGTTAACTGGTACTGTTCCAGACTGCGCCGTGCTCTGCGCAGGACGCACGAGCTGTTTAAAGCCACAGGCTCCGCGCGAGGCAATTGGACCATTAGAATATTACTACAACGGTCGGATCTTGAAAATGTCCAATTAATCAATTTGTTTTATTTAGTTGTTTAGCTCACACTGTGTTGAGAAAAAGATACGATATATCATATAAACCAACCAACATATTATAAACACCTATTAAAATGGTAAGACCGATATTTTTCTGCTTAAAATTTAGCAAATTGTTGCTAGTTAGCCAAAGTTAGCTAATTAGCTAAGCTAATTTTTTATACCGAAAAGTGACCCTGAATACACGTGTTTTTTTTTCTCCATATTTGGAATTTTAGGCTTATTTCAAATTTAAATTTTCCCCCTACCTTTAAAAATTAGGTTTCACGACATATTTCAGTGGTAAAAATACAGGTTTACTTTTGTCATCTACTGCACTGGCTAAATTTTTTCCCTGAGCTTCATGATGTTATCAGTTTGCATTACTGTTTTTCTCAAATTGCATTATGAATCTTTCTGGGGAAGAGGCAGCCCCGTGAGAGCTGTGTTGGTCAATATTGTCACATGCTTTGTGATTTGATGAAAGGTTCTATTTGCGCAGCCTTATGTGTATAGCCCCCTAATCAAAGACTTATATTTCTGTGACAAATAAAATAAATTACACTATTAGAGTCACCCACCTGCCTTTCTCAACAGTATTGATACCATTTCATTACCACAAAGACACAGATGGACAGCATTGGAGATTGGGACGTGTTAGGGGAGCGCTTGAAAACGTGTGCTCATGACCATGTAATGTGATGCCATGTTAGGAACTACACAAAAGTGATTGAATATTATGAAGGCAGAGAATGGCACACAAGCATCTCTGATATAGCGCATTGTGAAAGCGAGGTCCATTTCCTGGGTTTCCAGTACAGACCGGGCTTGTTACAATGCTTCAGCCAATTTGAGCATGCAAGCTTCAGTTCCCCCATCAGCAAATGAAAGAGGGAAGAATTTGGTCTGAAAGCCCAATCACACACAACGCTCCGAGTTCAGCAGGTGGGGAAGTGGCAGCAGCAGGCCCTATCAGGCCATAATACAAAGTTAATGATGCAGAATGGTGTCTTTCTACATATCAAAGAAGACGTCAATACAGGATGTTTAAGAACGCTGTTCCTAATTACGCTTTTTAAATTCACCACCGACGTGATTGACGATTTCAAAGGGAGGCATTATTGATCCACTTCACAGACAAGTCCCATCGATTGCAAGTCTAGAATGAATAAAAGTTTTTCTCCTCCCTCCCTCCCCCCCTTTTTATCTCCCCCACGGAGACAGAGATTGTACAATCAGAGCATCAGCGTGACCTATATGGGTCGTTTTGGAGCTAAATCACCTCTTTCAAAAAGCAAGGCTGAGCCAGGACGTATGGAGCGGTGATTGCTGAATCGAGGGACCTTGGGGGACCTTCAGAGCGTCACATAAAATGTAACAGTTAAATCCCACTGCTCTCTCATTTCTCACACGTGGAAAAGCATCCATATATTCATTAATCAGTGGGATCCTTTACAAATAGCCTGTCTGTGTTGGAGCTCCCAGCGTGATAAAGTTCAGGAGTGGCTGGTTTATAGAAAGTCAGCCGGCTGTGCAGCATCACGCCTCTCACTGCAATCAGCGGTGATGGAGTGATGGATGCTCTGACACACTGACAGATTGTTTTTTCCCACCTCTGCTCCCCGTTGACATGCCCCATAGCTTGTGCCTAGACTTTGTTATTCCTCATGAGCAGCAAGGTCTCCTTATTAATGCAGAGACTGACAGTCATTGCGTGTCTGTTCCCGGCAAATCAGCCGGAGAGATGCCGCAGAGCCTGATGTGGCAGAAAGTCTGAGTCTGACACCACAAAAAACTCTGCATATTCAGGGAGATCTGACCCATCAGTGCAAGGTGTTCCGCTTGAATTACCGAAAACAAGATTGATTTAGGAATCAACAGCATGTTGAATTGCGGCAGAAGAGAGAGGTTTTCCATCAAAACATGCTGGATCTCATTGGCAAGTGCACTTCAAATAGGAAAGTGGGCTACAGCTTATGATTAAATGGTATACCAGCAAAGCCTTTTTGTCATTTTTTTTTTAGAAAAGAGCTCTTTCTGAAGGCCAAAGTTAATGCAGTTATAGAAAGAACTCCGATACACTCCCACGTGAAGTGGCCATGCGAGGAAAGCCCAGGGGGGGTGGGGAAGGGCCTTGAATGAATTTGAGAGAGGCAGAGAGTGGGAGAGAGGCGAATGCAGAGAAAGTTCAAACATTACCGATCCTCAAATATCCTTTCGGTTTCTGGTTCAATTGGGATTCGGCTGTAAGTGTCTGCTAAAAGCTCCAGTTTTGTTGCTCCTCCATTGCTGCCGAGCTTTTAGAGTTAGATGATGACAGATTGCGAGCTACCTGATATCCTTCATCATTCCCCCCAGTGGGGGTGTTTGTTCCAACCCCAGCAAGTCCTCAAGGACTGACAAACAGCCGGTGCGTTTGATGGACTACGGGGAGGCATCTGCTCCGCCTGGTTTGGTCAAGCAGGATGAGAACAACATGTTACAGTAATCAATCAATATTCAAACACTGTCCTTTTTAGTCTGATTATTAACCTTACAGACCTGGTGGTTATGAAGACATCATTTTATGTTGTCATTGGGAATTTGTATTGAGGATTCAGAGGGGGGAAGTACGACAGCCCTCAGTGTTTTCCCCACGCTGGCATATTGCTTTAAGCACTGATGCTCAATATATCCTCCACAACACTGTCACAACTGCGCTTCAAGCGCCCTCTGGGATAAGCTCTGTTCTGTTCACTCAGGGGAGCAGATGGAAAGAAAACATCTGCACGAAGCAGTCTGATTTGCTGCTGTGGTCGAAGCATCCCTCACAGAGTAATCCAGACATGCTCAAGGTTCCCGTGAGCGCCGTCATCAATTTGAAACCGCCGGTTGATCATGTGTGCAGATGTGTTTCTGCTTTATTTCAAGTAGCTTTGGTTGATTTGAGTTTCCTACCTGCTGCTAACAGGTGATTCCCACACTGAGGCCCCCGGGGGCTCTCTGTGATTGACAGAGGATCTGCTGCAGAATGATGCATGACTGACACACTTTACAGAATTATTTGTGTATTTCATGCAAATGCAAAGTTATCTAATTGTGCTCTCTTTATTCCAAAAGTTAGTATAAATTTAATTTTCTTGAATTTACATTTTTAGAACTTATTTGTTTGTTGTCTTTCTTCAGTGTTTTTATCCAATCACACTTAGAAGAAATGTGCTTATTTTACTAGCAAAAACCTTCCTGAAATCACTTGCAGTTACATTTAAATTGAACTATAGTGTACATATGGGAAGGTTATATAACATTTTATTTTTCTTCGGTCTTTGTGTGTGTAATTTAACCAGTAGTTACTGAATAAGACGTTCTCTGACAGCAGAGTATCTGAGGATGAGGTGGACAGTGGAGTTTGATTCGTGTAGTTTTTATCTTAGTCGTCAGGGGGCGCTGCAGCTTCCACGCAGCGCTTCTACAGCCGCTTTTCAAAGCGGAACAGGCTCTTCTTCACTCAAAGCAACATGGTGTCACCCTGCTGCAAACGTGAATGTAAACAAGCGTCTCACCTCTACAGGGACAACAACAGTCCACGTCGTTGAAGCCCGGCAGCCCCTGTTTTTTTAGGGGAAAATGGCGTTCAGGGTCTGCGGACGCTTTTTCAGGGACGGTGGCGTTTTCTCCACACGGCTCGTGGCCTCTGCTCGTCAGGAGAGTGCGTCATGGTTTCTCAAAACGGGTCAGTTTTACCCTCTACCCTTCCTTCTGATCATTCATATTCCTGTTTGGTTAGGTATTAAAAACACCAGCGCGATGACGTCCCGAGGTGCACAATGACGTTTTGGGGGTGAGGGGCCCCACGTGTGCGCTGGTTGCGTGCACAACATGACAGGCACCTTACCTGAGAGCCACCGCCCACGTGATGAGGGGACGTTATGGTTTACAGCTTCTCCCTGGGACTGATAAGCACACTTATGGATGACGTAATGACATTTATAATGACGTAAAAACACCGGAGCACTACTCTTAACGGTTCATATTTTCAGATTGTATTAACAAGTGAAGTAATTTGTAAAAAAATATATATATATCCAGTCACAGGGACAATCTGGTCCAGTATGTCATGTCAGTCTTTGAAACAGAGCCGTCCATACATAAACTGCTCTCACACCAAAAATATGTACAGAACATGAAGTTGTGTTTATTATTTGAGTGTACAGAAACATCAATGTGTGACTTCCCTAATCAAAAACTTGAGTTCATTGGATTTTCCTGGTCACAGGCTCTCTCAGCTGCTTTTTTGTGAAAAGCATGGGGGGGCGCAAATAAAAATGCATGCTCACAGTCTAAGGCCAAAGCACTAAGGCCAGTTAAGCATCAGCAATTAACCAAGTGAACATTTAATACAGGAGCTGTGGGAGAAGTCAAGAGTGACTTGATAAGAACATGCGAAAGTAATTAAACTGCACCTTAAATTTGTAATAAGTACATTAAAAAACAAAGACCTAATCCAGTGTATAAATGAAGTTTAAAAATAACTTTCAACTTCAGAAAGTGCTAATACAAATGCTCCAGTCAAATAATCACTCTGAAGTAACCAGCTATGGTATTGTTTTCTCTTTGGAAAATAATAACAGGGACAAACAATAAGGAAATTAGCATAATTTGAGTAAGGGAAAAAAAAAAAGATATTTAACATCTGGTACTGAGAAGACAGGATCCCAGAAGGGACATGAATTGTGAACTATGAACAGCTAAATGTGCAACTTGGAGCATAAGGCAGAAGGAATTATTTGTGGTCATCAGAATGTGAGCATTTATCCTGGGCTGGACGGGCGGCTAGCATAATGAAGCCAAATGTTAGGCAAATATATGCACACACTAGATTTATAAATGCAAATATTTTCCTCCACTAAAACAGCCAGTTTGTTTATTCTTCTTAAAATTCCACTCTTTTTCTAAAAGATGACATATGATCTCTTCTCCCTCTACATAGAAAAATATGTTTCATATCGTTACTTAATTTGTGTGTTTGGGCCTTTCCCTGCTGAATTTACCATAACACTCTCTTTCTGTTTATCTGCTGGGAGAAAAATCCAATGAATATGTATGAGTGTCGTTTATTGGCATCAGAACTCATTTGGGAGCCAATCAGACTCCAGATGTGTAACATCCAGTAAAGCAGCGAGGAAAGCTCAATCCCTCCGTGCCTGTAAATGGAAAAAAGGCCGAAGGCGTGTGCACCTCGTGTCCTTTTCTGGAGTTAGATTCAATTAAAATGAGAAAAATGTTTTCCTGTGTTCAGGACGTGTCTGTTGTGCCATTTCTGGGTATTTAACTTGGTTAAAATGAGCCTTACAGAAAACATCTGAATGCATTTTTTACTTTGTGTCACATCACCATCTGAACGGCGTGATGGAGCAATTGATGTCCTTACAGGAAGTGCTGCGTGCGGCCGAGGCGGGAGGAACGGATTCATCTTCACTCCTGCTTGTTTTATTACATCCGAGGCGTTTCTCAGCAGACTGATGAAAGGGAGAGCAGCGGAGGCAGCCGGCAGCGATCATCGCCTTCCAGCGTCCGTCCCTCCAGACAGCGGTAAACAGGCCGATCGCCAGACACAACACCATCAAGATGCTAATCTTCTGTTTTGTATTAGTTTTTGTCCTGATCCGTTTTCTCATCATGTGACTTCTCTTTGCAGGCGAGCAGTTGTCTCTGTTAATGAGACATCCCGATCAGCCTGCTGACTCAAAGGTTCTAAAAGTCGCCATAATCGGTGCCCCAAACGCTGGGAAGTCCACGCTGTCCAATCAGGTTCTTGGCAGGAAGGTCCTTGTCCCACTTCTTCTTGTTCCTACGGTTTTTACAACGTCTCCGTGTCACTGTGCTCACATGTCAGGGATCCTGTCTTAAAGGTGTTTGCTGTGTCCAAGAAAGTCCACACCACGCGGTCGCGCGCTCTGGGGGTCCTGACGGAGAACAACACACAGATCGTAAGAACCCGTCAGCCTCCTCTGCCCTCTGGGGCCTGTGCAGCCAACAGGGAACCTCCTCTTTAAGTACGTCCGTGCCTTGATTTTGCAGATTTTGCTGGACACCCCTGGTCTTACCACCCCAGGAAAGGTCAAAAGGTGACTCTCCTGTTAAGTAGTTCTGTTTTGTAAAGTTTACGTCAAAGCCCCTGTGTGTGAAGTAAACGAGTGGATCCTCTGTGCTCGCAGACACCAGCTGGAGAAGTCTCTGCTCGTGGATCCCTGGACCACGGTCAAAGAGGCTGACCTGGGTAGGTTCTATGGCTTTTTTTTAGCTGTGCATCAGCCAGATGTGAGCGGCACTTTTCTGTTTGAGGTGGACAGGCTTGTAATTTGGTCCTGTGCCTGTTTCCAGTGGTGGTCATGGTGGATGCAACGGACCGATGGATGTGCAGCAGGCTGGACTTCGAGGTGCTGAAATGTTTGGCCCAGCACCCAAAGACCCCATCAGTCCTCGTCCTCAACAAGGTATTCTGTTCCTCATAATAATGGAGATTCTTCAACTCTAATCAGCTGTCCAACCCTGCTAAACATCACTATGTTTAAGAGGGATGTTGCCATCACTCATCGGCCCCTGCCGTTAAATTCAGTTAATTTCTTCTTTTTTTTTTAAATTGTTAATAACTGCGTTGCTATCAGTGCAGTTCCCTCTGACTATTTACTGGAGTTTGTTCAACTCTGGGCTGTTTGATCGCCTGTGTGAGCACACCTGAGTTCACTGCTTCTTTAAGTTAATTAAATGTTTTTTTTAATCAAACAATCTTATGGTTCTACAATCAGAATTAGAAGCTGAGCTGGACATTTTTAGGTCAGTCTCATCGTTTTTCTGTCATTTTTCCGATGTATTGAAACAACAAAAGAAAAAATGTCGAATGAGAGCAGCATTGTTGGGATTTCAGCTGCAAGCATAAACTGTCATGTTACTGTCTTTACAGGAAGGATAAAATAATCACAGAGAACCCATTTTAATGTTTTGATTGACAGCCACTTTATCTGCGTGTGTCATATAGTTTTGAATTATTCTGGAAAAATCAAACACAATAATTAGTGTTTCCTTTTTTCATGTAAAGATAAAACGAAATCCAGTTAAATATACTGAAGGATAAAGCCGAACACCAATGCAGTTAAAAGTGGAAGCAGGAAAACATCAATTACTTTGCTCCATATTAGATTAACAGTCATGGATTCTTGCATTAGGGGTTGATGTGTGAGCTGCTCTTTGTTATTTTCACCAAAATAAACCATCAGTCTGTTCCGCAGTACCTTCCAACTTTCTAAAGCCTGTTTGTGGCGCTGGGCCCCGAGCCGCTTGGCTCCCGCTGCTCCTAGCACCATATTGTGGCTCACTGATGCATCTTTCATGTCGGCTAAACAGCCAACGCTTGATGACGTCCTCGCCGGTTTTGGTCGAGGCCTCAAAGGGTTTGTGACGGATGGGGAAAAAGCTCACCAGCGCCAGCATTGTCTCCAACTTTTCCCTTCGACAGTCCAAAGGTTTTTTCTTTTTCCCCTGCTCGGTTCTGTGCCGTTTGGCCTCACAGATGTCGTTGTTTGCCTTTTGAGGTGGACCTGGTCAAGTCCAAGGACCGGCTGCTGGACGTCACCGCCCACCTGACGTGCGGAGTGGTGAACGGACGGCGGATCCAGGTCAGGACGGTCATCAAGCCGCCGTGGGCCGAGAAGAAGGCAGAGAGGGATTTGGAGCCCCCCCCTGAGGAGGAGGAGGAGGCGGCGGCGGCGGCGTCTGAAGAGGGGCCCGGACCGCACGGCGGGAGCAGGGAGCAGCTGAGGGCGCTGAGGAGCCAGCAGGGCTGGCCCCACTTCAAAGACGTCTTCATGCTGTCGTCGGTGGACCGGGAGGACGTGGACACCCTGAAGGTGAGCGCTGTCGCCGTCCCTCCGGAGCAGAACTTCATCTGGGCGACAGGCACCAGGCCTCATGTAGATCCCATTAAGACCAAAAGGTGTCTGGCAACTCGTCAGTTCCAGCTCCACAGCAAATACCTGCACACTCGTCTTCCTCTGGGCTCACAGCAACTGGGACTGGCAGTTTAGATATGAGGGAGGTGCAGTTCTCTCATCTCCAGTCCAACCGCCTGGTGCTTATCCTTCGTTTAGCCACAAACTAACCATGTGTTATTTAAAAGAACAACAGACAAAAAGGCCCAAGTAACATCGGGGAAGGCAGAAATCCTAATTGTCCAACTTACTGTTGATTTTTCTTTCCCATCGCTCCTTGAATCGTCCATCTTGTTGAAATCGGCCCATAAACAGGACTAACAGGGGTTCTGGCTCTCTGTTGTCGTGCAGAGCTACTTCATGGCCGCGGCTCGGCCGGGATCATGGCAGTACCACAGCGAGGTCCTGACAGATCAGAGCCCAGAGGAGGTCTGCTCCAACATCATCAGAGAAAAGCTTCTGGAGTATCTGCCCCAGGAGGTGCCCTACTCCCTGACACAGGTGACCCCAGAACCCCCTCTGAGGTTCCTCTGTCCCTTTAAAGACCTCATTTTTGTTGAGAGGCTCTGTTTTTATTTGATGCATCTGTCACTCAATCGGTCCGATTCACCTGCTTTAACCACACACCTTATGGGCGATTAAAATAATAATAATATTTTTTTTCTGGTTTCTCTGTTCTCTGTTCATCTCTGTTCTAACTGTGACTTTACTTCAGTCTGTTGAGCTCTGGCATGAAGGAGAGGACGGAGCACTCGACATATCTGTGAAACTTTACACCAAGAAAGAGACTCACATGGTAAGACTCAATGCCATATTTAGTGTTTTTTGGGCCTATTACGCCTGTATACAGCAGTAATGATGATGTTTGCCCACCTTTTTATTTGGAGGATTTTTCATAAATCAGCTGGTCCTCATCAGCTCTGATAAATACAAACTCATCTCAAGACCTACAGGAAAAACAACTGGTTTGTACTGTTTTCTACTGTGTAAAAAGTTTGAGCTAAAAGAGTTATTTCCTTATATTCTTAATTTTTCCTCATTGAGCCCCAAACCATAAAAAGACTTGTAATAGTGTTGATTTTTGTACATTTAATTTAGTCACATAGATTTAGTCACCCTGATATGTGACTCTGGCATGAGAAAAGGTTATGTGATCTAATTTCTTACGAACAGGAATTGGATTTTTATCTGTTCCCAGATCAGCTGATGAATACCCGCCCCCACCCCCCCGCCAAACCCCAGAGTCTGTTTATCATTATATGCAGGACTTTTAATGTAGCACGAACTACTTACAAGAATTTTGAAGCATTTCTTCAAAGTATTTCTTGAGAGTGGTGGCTCCAGCATTACTGAAGGAAGTGAACTCTCTCCTTCTGCCACCTGTGGTCTCTGGTTTTTACAGCTTGTTATGTCTTACCTCCATATCTTAAAAACTCCATCTTCCTCATGTTTTTGATTCATAAATATTTGAGTTTCCTCTCTGAACTATACATATTTGATGACAAGGAATGTTCAGAGCTACACGTGTGGAGCTGAAACGCTTCCCAGACTTTTCAAGTCAAACCTGGAAGAAGGTCATTTTACATGAATAAATCATCAATATGAAAAAATAAAACGACGGGCCGACATCTTCAGTGGAAGATTTTCTTGTATCCATTTACAGGTTTTATTTGTGGATTATAAGAAAACTGAGATATTACGAGCTTCTGGTTTGGTTTATGTCAGGTGTTTTCAGCCCGGGGCTCTCAGATCAAAGCAAACCTTTCCTGTCCTGTGGCTCCTCACCTCGTTTTTCCTTTGGTCCTCAGAGGATGGTCATCGGCACGGGCGGCCAGATGGTCGCGCGGATCGCTCGAGAGGCGGGCGAGGACCTCAGCCGAGTGTACCTGAGGGAGGTCAGGCTGAAGCTCTCTGTCAAGCAGCGAAAGTGATGTCGAACACGGGGATTTTTCACCGGGACGCCCGAAAAATGGGCCGCCAGACCTGTGTGTTGGATTTGCGAGGGCTCCTCTCAGCCAAGGACAGAGCATGAATTGGACAAAGGATGTATGATGTCATCGTGAATCTGAGATGGAGCAGGTGGGAAACAAAAATAACATCCAGAATTTGACCAAATAGACAATGTTGACACATGTTCACACCTCTGACACGGAGATGTTACCGAGTGGGCCTCAGAGCAGAGAGTCGGATCAGAAGTGTAACCCGTCTAAATGCTGCTGAGCAGAATAAACCCGGTCGGAGTGCCGTGCTTCCTTTTAGACTCTGGTGAGTTTCCGTTTGCACACAGGACGCGGGCGCTGGTCAGGGGGAGGTTTTGCCGCCCGCCTGACAGCGGCTGAGCGGGTTCGGCGAGCTGTGAAAGGGCCGGCGTTTTTTTAAACGTTTTTATCTCCGACTCTCAGAGCTTTTTGCTTGGCGGGCGCCTCTCAAAACGTGCGCAGCAGATAAACCGAAGGCAGAGCTGCTCAGTCACGTTCACTCGGATGTCCCCGGTGGGCCGCCCCACCCGGCTCCCTCCTCTCCACCGTCGCTTTAGCCCTTTGAAGTGTGGCCACCCATCCCTCCTCCGCTCCCCTTTTTGTTCGGTTGCTTTCTTCCTCTTTTCCTTCCCCTCCTCTCCCTCTGCTCTTTTGGCTCCTGTAAAGCTCAGCTCGGCCCCCGAGGGCTGAATCGCCTCCCTAATGGACGGCAAAGTGGAACGCTAACCTGATGCTAAAATGGGTCAGATAATGGAGATTAGATTCATCCCTGCTGCCTTTGAGTTAACTCGGCGGTGACTCTTTCTGGGACACATAACCAGCCGGTGGCTTAAGGAGACGGAGGGAGGGACTCGGGAGAAGCCGTGTGACCCCCTTCAAGCTTTCAAGCTCTCTTCAGGTCTGCTGCCCAGTGATTAGAGAAGCCGGTTACACACAGCAGAGATCCCCGTCCTGTTAAGAGCGCTGGCGTTTAGGAATATTAAAGCCGCTGTCTGACCAGCCTTTGGCACTGAGATGCACTAGTTGGAGCTAAATGAATAACGAGGCGCTCATTTGAGAGTCCATAAAGTTTATTTCACGAAACTGGCACTTTATTACACATGAATTTCAGGCGCCTCCATTGTGCTGCTGGTCCAGACGACAGCGAGCGAAGGCCGGAGAACCCTTACCATTACTAAACTCAGTAATGGTAACGGTTTAACGGCCTTCCTCTGAACAGCCCCCAGCCGCCCGGGCCCCAGTCCTGAAGGCCGACGCGGTCCTGGAGGTGGAATGAAACCCTGGATAGTACATCATCTATACTGTAGTGTCTCTTTGATAAACTTACAGTATAAGATGATATCCTGTCCAGGGCACAAGAGAAAAAGAGGAGAGCAGCCACTTCCTGCCACGTTTGTGATCTGCAAGAGAAAGCGAAGCCGAGTCGTTAGAGATGCGCACAGGGGGGGTTATGGGATTAAAATGTTAGTAAGGTGAGAAGGCTGGTTTTGAATTCACCTCTGTGGATGCAGCGCGGCATCGTTCCACGTCGGGTTCGCGTCCAACTGCCCTGACGGCTGTCGGCCTCCGACACTTAAAGGCCCCCCCCCGGCTCATTAGCATACCCTGATGACATCTAGGTTGGACCAGACGGTTCTTTTTTTCATTTTTTTCTCTCCTTATCTGCTCCCAGCCTGATTGCCTGGGTCCAGTGACGGCCCCACCCGTACAACACCCAGCTGGCCTTTTCAGAAAAGAGCTTTTTCATTTTCACCTCTAACAGGTTTTCACACTTTACTGAGTTCAGTGTGCACAACTGACCGTTCTGTTCACGCGAACACAGTTAGCTGGAAATAGTCGTAAGGTTTTGTGCATGAGGACTGAACAGACAATTGGGTAAATCTAACCTCAGATAAACCAAAAAATGAGGAAATGTATCGCATATTCATTTGACTGATAAAAACTCAGACTAAAGTAAAGAGTCAGTGAGTGAGAAAAGCAGCCAGGTGCTGCTCATCAATGCACATGATGAGCTGCTCATAAAAACAAGGAAGAAAGAAATCACTAAGGTATGAAAGAGGTAACTGGTTTCATCTATCAGTCTGACTGTGTTAAAGGCTGCTCTTACAGGTAAAAACATTATTTTAGTCCTGGGAGCAGATGTGCCAATAATATCCACCTAAGCTCAGATCATTTAATGATCAGAGAAACTCCTAAAAACCTGGAGCTCCATCTCGGAGTCCACGGGCCTCAGTTAGGATCGGGTTTGTGAAGTTACTCCCTTAAAATTACACAACAGACCAAAGTGGAGATGTTGGGTCAGAATGCCAAATGACCCGCATTTAAAGCTGGGCTGAAACTGGCCCTAAGCAGGACAGTGAGCCCAAACACAGCAGCAGCTCCGCCACAGACGGTCTGAGAAAGGAGAGAATCCAGGAGCCCTGATGGTCCCTTCAGAGTCCAGACCTCCCACTGACCGGCTGGCCTCAGTGAGCTGTGCAGAAACCAGTCCTGCTCACCCCAATGCAACCCTTTTTCATTCACTGCCTCCGAATGCTGGTTCGGTTTTTGGTAAACTGGAATATCTAGTCTAATTTATCCGAGGCTGCCCTGACCTAGATTTAAGGACTCCAGACTGAGTGATTGTCTGCGGCGTCCTGAGATGTGGAGCCTTCAACAGAATGAATTTCAGCAGTCGACTGAAAAGCCGAGCACTTTGTGTCCCAGAGCAGATATAAATCCACTGTTCCGCAGGCCCTCAATCATCTGGATCACAGCACTGGTGGATCTATGTGAGATGGTTTCACAGATTGGCATTTAATACCCCAATACGTCAGCTGATGTCCCGCTATCTGACTTATGAAAGGAGCTGTATCTGCTCTTCATATTCTCCTCTGGGCTGCAGGATATTGGAGGACTGGGCTGTATTTCTGTGTGAGACAGCATCACATTATGGCAGGGCTCTGTTTGCCTTTGCAGATCTTTTCTCTTCTTTTTTTTCTTAACCAGAGGATATTCAAGTTCCAAAAAATGGTGCAAAAGCTCACGGAGCTGCGAGCAAACCCGGTCAGATGGTGTCCACGTCTTCCCCGTCCAGTGACTGCTGCCAACCTGAGAGCCTTATGCCAATTCCAGGTGGGAAAAATCTGTAACTGTGCAGTCGGGAGACCCGTAACACGCTCCTCAGGATGAGGCCCGGCTAGGCCGGACATGAGTTACCATGGAGACCCTCCCCGGTCAGGGTGTGGGATCTGGTCTGGGGTGTGAGGGGCCCTCCTGCCAGCCCAGATAAAGATGGAGGCCGGACTATCTGGGTGGTTTGCTTTGCCTCTGGGTGCTTTATCTGCAGCAGAAATGCTTCTTCTTGTTCTGCAACTTTCCATTTGAGTTCCCAGATAAGATTTTCTCCTGTTTGTGTGTGTGTGTGTGTTTATGAGGACAAAAGGGCAGGACGCTTGGCCGACAAACGGCTTTTATCCAAAGCGATCGGAGAAACAAGCTGGACGCTTGATAAAACTCTGTTGTTCACTCAATATAAACATAAATAAACCTTTAAAAACGTTCAATCTAACACGTCGTGTAGAGTCGACTGCGTTTTACGACCGGCCCCCTCCCCAGTGCTCCCAAACCCTGATTGAAGCTCCGCACTCAGACAGAGTGGTTGAGACAGAGGGAAGAAAAATGGACAAACAATGCAGTAAAAAGAGCATCACATTTCATTTTTTTATTTATTTACAGGTGGGGGGGGGGGGGGGGTAAAGGCAGGAAACATCTGGCCAGGAGTAATGAGAGCGGCAGCATTTATTGTGTTGTGAAGTTTATGAGCAACAAATTTATGTTCATTACCAGAAATATTTTGGCAAATTTAGCATTTAACAAAATCTAAGCAAAGTTTGGATAGAAACCGAGAGTTTTATCGTTATTCCAATAAAATCTTTACAAGATAAGTTCATGAAAAAACAGTCAAAGGGAGATTTTTTAAGGAAGGAGAATTTTGGGCTGATAAAAAACATGGAGTGAGCAACCAGGCATAAAGCACTTTTTACTGTTTCCCAATTAGAGTAAAAGATGAGGTTCATTAATTGACTAGAAGTGAGTGTTGGAGGCCCTCTGAGGACACCAAGGTACACCATCTCCATTTTAAAACCAAGATCTGACCTACAGCCCTACATAAATCTAAATATATATATATATATATATATACACACACACATATATGTGTATGCATGTAAGTCTGAAGAAAGAGTTTTCTTTATTATGCAGGATCTTTTCAGCCCATCAGGCTTGGGAGTATAAGAGGATGAAAACAGAAACCCAAGAGTCCAGTGCTGTGGGAAAGATTACAAAATGATTTACAGCTGAGGCAATGGCCAGTGGAAACAGGAAGCAGAAGCAACAAAATAAACTGTTTTTATTCTACAGAAGTTAAGAGGGAGGGAACCGGCCAACAAGCAAAAAAGAAACTGAAGACATCAAGATCGATAAGCTTAAGAGGCTCCCTGGTGTCTTACATGCACAACTAGCTTCTATTTAGTCATTTCTACATTATTGAGAGTGGAGGATATTTTATTTAGCTTTGTCTGTTCTCACAGCTTTGCTCTGCCCTTTGGCTTTGGGGCATGAGCTCCAAAATGCTTCTGTCCACACAGACCAAGGACTGTGGAGCACGTGCCTTTTTTAATACAATCGTGAAAATCTGCCTTACTGACACTATGGACAGTTTTCATATTTTTATGGAGAGTCTCCATGCTTCATATCTGTTCTCCACTAGTTTTTCTAGTTAAGAGGACATTATTGTAGCATGTTCTTATGGCGACCTCTTCTGGTGTTAGGTGGTAACGACACATCCTCACTATCAGTTTTGAAACTTAAGATTTTATTCACCCTTAAAATACAGATTCAGCCTATCACGGTGACGCCAATTTTCCTGCACTCATTTCACCAGGAATTGTCTCTCATAAGCGAAACCTTGAAAACGTCCAAGTTAAAGAGACTCTTGGGCCGACGGGGGGTGACACAGCATTTATTGAAAGGTGGCACACAACACAGAGTAACATGCTTAAATTCCCATGCTGGATCTCTTCTCTTTACACAAGAGGCCACACGATAAACTCTCAGTATAATGTTAAGAGACAGAACAGGTTGTTTCTATGTTAGACGATGATGCAGATGGCTGTTAAGGCAGAGGTTTCAAATGTTTGGTCATTCTCTCAAAATGCTACAGGGAGTAACAAGAGGACACATTTCTGATTAGTGAATGCAAATGTTGATACACTTTGACACATATATAATGGCCAAAAAAGAATGGATGAGGTCCGGTCTCCCATAAAAACCTCTAAAAAATATACATTTAACTACACACATTTCAATGTATATATATAGATATCTATATTTAGAGATATGAATGTTCCCTTATACAGTTTTAGAACAGAATGTCATGAAGCACATGAAAGTGGAGGAAGAACGATTAGTTTAACATAAAACATGACCACCTGTTACTTGGTCTTTGCCCTAAAGCAAACTCCTATGGTAAGCTGTGTTGATGCTTCCTAATGTGAGAAGAACCTTCACACTCGCATACGATTGACCTCGTTCAACAAAAGGCACTGAGAAAGACTGACCGCCTAAATTAAAATGAGAACAGCAAAAGGCATTTTCAGCCATTTTGTTCGGTGAAACAGCACATTGTAAACTCAGTTTAGCGAGAAGAACAGCTCACAACTATGCGATTGGTCTTGGTGGGACCGTAAAGGTGAAGGTCTAAACTGTGAAGATGAGGCTTCCAGCACCAAACGCCTGGTGACAGCTGCAGCCATCCAAATGAAGAAACATGACACCTGATCAGGTTAAGTACTATTTTCTTTTCTTTTTTTTTTAGCCAGGCAGAAATTAAGCGGCGTAGAGTCTCAAACGTGACATCTGTCAAAAACAGAAACAACCTGGGGGCTGCACGGCGCAGCGCAACGAAGCGGAGCCTCGCCTTTAATTCACAGAAAACAAAGAGGCTGCCACATGTCAACTCAAAATGTAACAAAAATATCCATCATAGATTCTGAAGTGGTCATTAAAGTTTTTCAGAGGCATTTATTCAATTTTAAAAAAGCCCAGCAGTTCACAGTGAGCTGATCTGGTGAAGCAGAGGATCAGATTTTTCCTCCAGGACTGATGAAAAACCAGCAGTTCGGCGGGAATCCTGCTGAAATTGCCATTTAGTTTAAAGGTTGCCTGTTTACACAGGAACTTCCAAGAGAGATCAAATCATAAAAAAAAGATTAGGCTATGCATACCTACAGGCAGTACAGAGTCTGTGTGACAGTCTTAAACTTTACAAGTCATTTGAACTCAACACTAAAGACACGTGAGAAGCCTCAAACTGGGTCCTTGTGGTCCACTTTGAAGTATTCTGACCTTTGAGGTGGACATCCCCCCGGCCCTGAATCTGACCTGGAGCGCCTGGAGGATGACACACGCTCAAGTTTGACTTTGGTTTCCAATCTTTTCACGCTTGACAACTTCTGAACACAACAGCTACTTCACGTGTATGGCTTCAGGGGCTCCCAGCCGTGTGCTCAACACAGAGGTGTTACTGCCCACCGACTGTAGGGGGAGCCAGAGAGTACAAATATTTCCCACTGCTGTTGCTTTAAAAACCTGGTAGTAATATTGAAGGATCAGAAAACGGGATGTTTTAGTTTCTCTGCCGCTTCGTCCTTTGTGCTACAGAAAAACAGTCACGGCCCAGCTGCTCCACACATGCATTTCACATAACATCTACCAAAGCACAACTCCCTGAGCACAAACGCCACATTCAGCGTTTACAGCCTGATCACCTTCCTTTTTTCCAACCGTCAGAGGAGCGACGTCGCTTCAAACCCGTGGAGGCCGGACAACCGAGGCTGTCCTGTCACACAGAGGTCAGCGGGCGGTAAATACACACAAAGAGCAGAGGGACCAACGAGGTGAGGGGGGGGGGGGGTTAAGGAGGAGTAACAAACGCATTTCAAACGCAGACCCTGACTGTCTAATGAAAGCTGTTTGAGGTAATACAGAAAAGGTTTGGCGGCCCTGGCAGCCGTCCAGGGTTTCTTAAGGCTGCCCGATGACAGGTTTGCTTTGCAACTTCCTGTGGTGTCAAAAACACGGCAGAAGAGAGGAGGAAAGCGAAGTAAATGAGGAGATAGAATGAGAGTAAGGGGTTAGTTTTAAACAACATCCATCTATAACAATGATAGAAATCCAACCGCAGCCAAACCACTGTCATGTCTAAGGTTTGGGCACTTGAGTGTTGAACAGGCACTGCACATCTGGACATAAAGACACCCGAAGTGACAATCTACAACGAGGTAAAGATCATCAATACAAGTAATTCACAATTGAACTGAGTGAAGATCCAAAAGGATCAAGCTAAAGTTTAAGAATCGACTTTAAAAGCAGAGAGGGGTAGTGCTCAGTGTACTGGGAGCTGTGAGTGGTAAACTGACGGTGCCAATAAAGAGGCAGCAGCTCCCACCTCACAACGCTGACCGGAAACTCCAGGCTGACCTTCCACCCCTGCTTTGGATGACAGAACAGCATGGCAGCGTATTACCCTGGTAACTATTTCAGTACGATAAAAACAACAGACGATACATACAATCTGGACCCACTTGGCCTCCTTCACAAAATTAAAAACTATTATCTACTACTAAAAGATTAAAAAAAAAAAAAAAAAAAGCTCCTGATTGGTATCAAGTGTTTCTGGTTGAAGGTGGTTGCATATAAGGGGTCTCTGGCAGAAAATCTGTCATGCTTGAGGCAGAACCACAGACGGGATTCGGAAAGACCAGTCTGGGCCGGCTTCATCACACAGCTGCTTGGCACTGCTGACCGGTCATCTTCTGGAGCAGAGGGATCTGTAGGGTCAGGAAGCAGAGAGGAGCGTGAATAAAAGCACAAAAATAAAGCAAACAAACTGGTAGCAGCTTAGCATAGACATTTCTTCTATATTTAGCTCATGAATCCATAAGGACCAGCAGATCTGTAAGAGTGAACCTCTGATGACTAAACATGGGATTTGGATCTGCTTGCAACATTTTTTTGCACCAAATATGGTGAAATATTTTCAGCGTTTAAACGCATTCAACTTCAGTAACACCAACAGGAAACGGATACACAGTTTTCCTGTTTCTCTTCATGCGTTTAATGAAAGAAATAAAATGAAAAAGCTGCTTGTCATCCTGTTTTATCCCCAAAAAGAAGATCCTGACTTCCTTTGATAGCGGGCCTTCACCTTGGTCAGATCCACCCCGGTGAGGGCGTTGACGGAGACGGGGAGCTCGGCCAGCAGACGGGTCACTTCTCCGGTCACACGGCTGCCCTCTCCGCTCAGGATGACGATCTCGCTGGTCTTGGACAGAGGGGCTGCCACCTTACTGGCAATCTGATGAGGAGAAAAAAAAAGGAAAAAACTGTGAGATCTGGTTTGATGCCTTACCGAGAAAGCCCTCACCACTTTGTTTGGAAGTTTATGGAAATAAACATGAGAAAGTCAGCGGCGTCTTTCAATGATTCACTTGTAAACATGCCGGGAGAGTTTAGGAAGTGCGAGCATAGCTGTAATTTGGTTGATTTTTAAACTGACTTTAATGTCCGGTCGGGATTAGTCATTTTTATTGTTTGTTTTAATAAAGAGAGACATACCAGCTAAAGTGCACAATAAGGGGAGTTTGCTACACTTTAAAAGTTATAAAAATGTAATTTAAATCTCAAGAGAAGAAGAAAAACAGGTTTAACAATAGGTTGCGCTCCAGTTGTGCGCGTGTGTGTGTGTGTGTGTGTGTGTGTGTGTGCGTGTGTCCTGTTCTGGGCATGTTTATATCAATAACTCATTGTTGCCAGCAACTTCGTCTGTGCCTTTCAGAGCGACACAGGCTCTGCTGTCACAAAGCCTCGCTGTGCCACAGGTACGAGCTGGAGTTAGGAGGGGGGGCCACACCTGCCTTGTTTTCAGAGGGCCACAGTTTGTTCCCAGGCTGAGCACCAAACAATTCTGCTTAAAATGTTTGAAAAAACATGGAATAGCTGAAATGCTGTTGTGCGTGTGTGTGGGGGGGGGGGTTTAGGGGCGACACAAACCATGGGTAGAGCCTCCAGGACGAGAGCCGTCTTGGCGGCATCGCCGTACTGCTGGTAGGCTTCGGCTTTCAGCCTCATCTTCTCAGCCTCGGCCTTTCCCACGGCTTCAATGGAGCCGGCCTCCGCCTCACCGATACAGCGGATCTTCTCAGCCTCGGCCTGTGCAGTCAGCACCTTCTTTATCCTGAGAGCGGAAGACACGTCAAAAGAGATGTTACCAACTGGCAGATAAAAATTAAAATAAATAAATAAATAACCAGTTATTGGTAGCCAACATGTAGCCAATGGCGTGGCAGCAACTGGAGGGTGTACGTATGTCACAGGAATGCATACTGAATGCTTACAGCCGTTTCCCATGCACTAACCAAACACCACACATGGTTATTCAGTTAAAAACGTCTCAGTTAATCATCTGCTCAGTTAGTTCAGAGAGCCTGTTTACATGGTAAGAGTTGAAGATTGTTTAAACTCAGGGGAAACCAGCTGAAATAAACAGGCTGCCACATTCTTGATGCTGTGGTTCGCTGATGGGATTTAATGACTAAATGGTTCATTACTGACACCGAAAGGCTGCCTCAATAAGTAAGCACCTTCAATTATGGCACACAGAATGCCACATTTCATCCAAAATTGGCCATCGCTGCATTTCTGCTCCCATCTAATGACTGCGGTTAAGTTAAAGTGTAACAGAAAGCACCCAAATGACGGTGGGCTGCTGAAACGTTTCCATCAGGATATTTTAGAACTCACTTTTGCCCCTCCGCCAGCTGCTGCATTTTGAAGGCCTCGGCTTCAGCTGGTCTCTTCACAGTAGCGATGAGCTCCTTTTCAGTTCTGTCGATCTCCTTCTCCTCAATCGTGATCTGCTTCTTCCTCTGCACCACCTCGATTTCAATTTCTTCCAGACGGATCTTCTGCTGCTCTTTGGCCGCCTGCAGCTCGTACGCCAGTTGAGCTTCAGCTTTCTGACAACAAATTTTTTTTTTTTCTTTAATATAGAACTTCCATGTCATCCTAAAGTACCACAGATTCGACTGTATACCTTGGTGTTCACTTCTTGGTTGAAGGAGGCTTTCTGCATTTCCAGCTCGCGTTTCGAGTCGGCCATTTTTGTGTCCGCAACGAATTTCACATCCATCATTTCTTTCTTACACTCCGCTTCCTAAGTGATGGAGATGGATGATGCTGTTTGTTCGTTTTTTAAAACCTTCACAATGTGCTTTTTAACGCTCGTCTTACCCTGATGCCAGCGTCCCTCTCGGCCTCTGCCACTCCGATGTCTGCATCCCTCTGTACTGCAGCCGTCTGAGTTTTACCCAGCGAGCTGAGGTATTCCACTTTGTCGTAAACATCCTATTAAAGGGGGAAGAGAGAAACGGAGTGTACAGTGTGGCACCCATTAACAATGATCTCACTACTAGTCAAAGAAAAAAAGTGGAAACCGCAACTGACACTGAGAATAAGAGGAACTGATGTCTCATACTTTGATGGTGAAGCTGAGGATCTCGATGCCCATGCGCCCGACGTCTGGCGCTGCCACCTCTCGCACCAGAGAGGCAAATTTGTCTCTGTCCTGGTAAATCTGCTCAACAGTGAGGGTGCCTGAAAGAGAAAGGGTACACCAATTTAAACAGGTGAAAGCACCCACATCCGGATGTAGCAGGTCCAGTTGTGTGATGGGTTTGATCTAAAAAGGGATTAGGCAGATGTAAGAAAAGGACAATTCTCACCCAGGATGGCGCGCAGGTGGCCCTCGAGGGTCTGCAGGATGACACTCTTGATCTCCACCACTGATTTCCCCAGAAACTGTTCGCAGGCGTAGCCCAGCAGCTCACTTTCAGTCATCACCTTCACCTAATGCCAACACCGACACACATCTTCAGCTGAGCACACAAACACAGCTGTGGCGCACCAGAAAACACACCACATAGTAGTTTTTTGTGCCATCGACTAACAAACATTTACATCGTCAGACCTGAATTAAAAACGCCCGTCTGTGCAGAAGAAGGTGCATGATGTATTTTTAAAGGGTGATTAAAAACCTACTGCTAATTCAGTCAATCACAAATGACCATTTAACTTTAAATCAGGAGTTTATTTTCAATTAAACTTTTGTCACTGAGTTTCTCAATAAAAATTGAGCACGTTTGTATTTTGGGATAAACTGTAATTCCTTTCTATAACTGACCAACAAAGACTACGTGGGTTTAATAACTTTCAGGACTTTTGAAACCTTTTTGTATGTAAAAGCAGTAAGCATTCTCTATCTTAATTCAGCGTTATACAAAAGAAGGCTGGTAAACTGCTTTTAGATACTTTACTTATTAGTATCAGCAGATACAGACCTAATTTCAGCATAAAAATCTTCTCCTTTGAGGTCTGTGACGAGCAAAGTTTTTCTGTTTATACATAATGTCCTGATAAAAGAAATCAATTAAAGGATTTACCTCTTTTTAGTTTGTATCTGAAAATCCAAAAATAATGTAAGGGATTATTTATAAAAATGCTAAACAGGGAGAAAAAAGCTTTGAACTGGAAATTTGCATTCATTATCCGTAAGAAATCTCAGCAACAGTAACCTGACATTCAAAGAACAAAAACAGGAGCAGTCAGTGGTTTTCACTGAGCTCAAGTGAAAGAAAATATAAAAAGGATTATAAAGGCTGGGGCTAAGACAGTGGTCCACAGGAGCTGTAAGGAAAAGTAGATAAACAAAAGAAAGTGAGAGCTGGGTCCTTAGGTGAGAGGTCTGCACGTGGTTTTGTTTGGCAACATGCAGTCATACCAGAAAAAAAGGGTAACACCAAGTCAGGAAACATGGTCGTCATTCAAAGAAAAACAGTCTATAAACAGAGAATATAGCAAGCCAACCACGAGGAATGCACACAGGCCGTCTAAAACTGACAGCAGGGGGAGCCGTGCTATGGCAGAGTTTTGGGGCTTTCAAAGGGCCTGTGGTTGCTGGTAATCTGTTGACCTTTCCTCTGATCTGCTTCTACACCCTCCCATCCGTTGCCTTTTTCCTGCCTCTAAACACCACGTGTCCTTGAAAAACATACAGTTGGAGAAAATATCTATTTCCTCAACAACATGGAGATATTTTTAGGGTGGTGAATCTAAGAAGTCCTTTCAATGAGCTGATTTCAACCGCCAACGTAAATAGTCTCTCTAAAAGTCACAGGGTTAAATTTAATGGAAGAATGGCATTTGGCGCCCTGTTCTAAACCTGGATATGGGACTACATTAAGATTCTGCTCATTTCCTTAAAGTGGATTCTGTTAGTCTAAACTTGCATGTGCCTTTGGCTTGGGAGGGATATACAACCGTTACCATGGGAAACAGAGTCCCTACAATGGCTTTAAACTTAGGACGGACCAATCATAGTGGTGGCCGTGATGAATCTCCTTGTGCCCTAAAGTATGTGTGAGTGAGAGGGTTGTTCAACTCCAGACAGTGGGCTCATTGTCAGCACACATGTAGGAAAAAACAGAGGAGAAGAGCTGTGGCCAAAATGGAGAACTGATAACAAACTACACAGGCATGCACACAAAGGAATCCAGGAAAAGGATCATTTCAAATGTTAATGCAGACAACCGCGGCAGACAGTAGTTCCTCAAGAGAAAATCCACCAACGTTTCATTTGACTATTCATTCAGTCATCCAAAACATATTCCGATTCAAAATGTTTGATGTTTGTACGAAGCTGTTCAGTGTGAGACTCACAGGATTACACTGAGAAGGTAACAGCATCGCGATTTCTGTAAATTTGTTAGTGTAACTAGTAGCATAAAGAGCGTTTTGATTTAACAATCGCATCTATTCATGTAAATCAAGTGAACCTAAGGCTGCATCCTGTTCTAGATTTATGCTAAACACTAAACCATTTACTGTCACAGAGGAACTTTCTATAACGTTCTCTGATGGAAAGGTTTTCTTTGTGTGACTATTCAAATACTTTTTTCTGACTGAGACAAACACATCAAGTCAATTGTCTGCCGGCCAACTTCCAAACATAAACGTTTTTACTGTCGGAAGAATCACCAAAAGCAAGTTCCTTCCATAGAACCTGCTTTGGCCGACGCTGGTTCCAGTATCACACTAGCTTTTTGCCAGTTTAGAGAAAGTAGCTGTCAAACAAAAGCAGTAAACAGAGGGAGTCTAAAAGGCTACACAACCAAGTGAATGTTTGAGGAGATGGTGGATTTTTTCTTTTAGAAATTTTTAACATTCATAAGGATTAATAAGACAACTGGAATGATGTCAAACAGTTCCATTAAGGATTTGAACTGCCTGAAATACATTTGTATTTGGGGATTTTTCTATCGCTGCAGGCTGAGGCTCTGCATTTTACACTTTGGACGCAGCACTGGCTCCAGGGCCAGGTGTGCTTGCACCTCAATCCCCAAGTATAAAACACTACCTCTGCAGTGGTTATGGGCTGTGAGAAAAGGAAGGAGGGATGAGGGAGGGTTAGTGGAGTCTGGACTGGCATTCCTAGAAAAGTGTGGTGATTTACCTGAGCCACCCCAGTGACAGTAATAGCTACACCCTCCGCTGTCTCTACATCCTCACACTTGGGCTGCAGGGTCATAATCTCAAGCGTTATCCTGTGAAGAATGTGGAAAAATATAAAATAAAAATTGACATGTTCGCAGGGAAAGCAAAATGAAGGGAAGGAACAGAACACAAAACAAAAAAACAGACAAAGTGAAACCATTCACCTAAGGACTCCAGATCACTTAGCAACAAGAGACGCCCTCTGAAAGTGAAATGTTACTGAAACAAGAAGTGAATCCGGCTTTTATGTTTTGAGAGGCAACTTTCTTTTTCTCCGTTTCTCGGATTAGACATTTTGACCTTATTCTAATTCTTTTATCCCCGTTGCAAAAGGTGACTCAGAGCTCTGATTTCTGAAACCAGCCTCCTGTTGACTGCACGGGGGGTGGGGGGGGGGATCTTGTTAGTGCAACCATTTTCTTTTCTCTTCCTTTTGGCCTTAAGCTCCAGCCTGTCCTTTTTATCTTTTTTGATCTTTAGTGCATTACCTGAGCCACCCCTGTCACATCCAGGGGTACACCCTCCGAGGTTTCGATATTCTCACAGCGACAGAGGATGGTCATAACCTCCAGAGACATTCTACGCAGGCAGGCGGGCAGCAGGAATAGCAGAAGCAAAACAGTAAGTTGGACAACAGCTGTTAGCAATGTCAGTAACCAAAGTCAAGGGGAAGAGAGAAGACAGAAAGGGCAAAAGACAACCTGACCTCTTGTTTGGCGAGTTTCAGCCCCAAAAGAGCTGCTGATAACATCTGTTTCATTTGCTGCAGCCATGTCTTTAACTCACTGACAGTGATTACATTCTGTGATGGAGGATGACGGATAGAAAATCTGAACAATCACAAGAACTGCTTTTATGTCACGGTCGACTGATTTGGATTCTTTTTTGTTGAAAAAAAAATCAAAGATGAGGGACGGCGACTGTAGCCTGGAATGAAGAACAGTTCCTACTTTACAGCTCAACCTCGCTCACTTTCCAGAAAAGCTGGATCAATAAGTCACAGGGCCCAACATTAGGCTGATTACTCCATGAGCAGGAAGCCACACTCCCTCCTTTCGCTGTGCAGCTGCCTTATGCATGCAGCGCTTTTAGAACGCATCATCATCATCATCGCTGCTCTGGGAAGACCCAGAACCCCAAAGATGATCTCATCAAGCAGGCACACAAAATGTGCACATAAAAATAAGGCAGGAATTGATCACGGAGGCCGTTTGCCTCGAAATGGATGTTTACCTGCACACATCATCTTCTCTATTTTGTCATACAAATCGGCCATTTTGTTTCTTAGCAACTGAAGATACAGGGCACGGCTTAATGCAAGATGAGTGACCTGAAGGAGCCATTCAAGAGCTGAGACAGAGTGAGATCAATATCAGACGAAGCAAAGCAGGTTTAAGCACAAACAAAGAAGCAGGTAAGCAAATGCTGTCTTACCAGCAGGACCTTGAAAACACACTTCATTTTCATAGGATTACTATAATAACCTTCATAGTGGATTTCAGGAAATAAACTAGGTTTTAAGGTTGGAAATGAAAGACAGAAAAAAAATCAGAAATGATCAATTCTCTTCTTCATTCAACTTTCCTTATTTTGAGTTTTAAACCTGTGGGAAATGAAACATCTCTTTCTGAAAGTTGGTTTTAAGTCAGCTCAGTTTGTTTCGTAGATCACTGTGAAAACTGTGACCTACGTTTAAGTTTTTATGGCGGCGTTTTAACAAACTAATTGACCTAAAATCAGTTTGTTTCCTGCATTTCAGCAGTTTGGAGCTGATTAAACACCAAGCATGTATGCAGAGTTAGTTTTTTTTTCTTGTTAGGACTTGTTATTAGCCCTGTTTAAAGCTCTGACAGGCAGACAAATATGTGCAACCTTTAGCCAGATCATGTAGCTTTTGTCTCAGCAGTTAGAAGAGTTCAGCATGCTGAAAGGTATGCAGTTAACATTCGGTTAGTAAATGCTATGTGAGCACCGCTCCCTCTCTTTACTACGCACCGTCTGTTTATCTTTCCAGTGGCAGAGGCTGCTTCATTGGCGCTGCATTCACAGTCAGGCTGAACGAGCTGCTCTGTTTACACATTTGATGAGTTTTTAGTCCATCAGAAACAATCAATTTATTCTTCAGTTAAGGGTGTTAAAGTAAAAAAACACAGTGCCCTTTCCTTTTGTTGAAAACTTTCCCCGTAAAACTAATTCATGAGAAAAAGAAGAATGTTAATGTAGATTTAGTTTTACGTCACTTTTCATTCATCCATACATTTTAGATTTTGCACATATTTGTATGCACACACTATTTTTGCTTTCTGTCCGGTTTGAATTTACTCATATTATTTTAGTTTATAGATATATTTTCATGTTATTTACAAACCAATCAGATATACAATAAATGTGTTATTCATAATATAGAAGTGCTTTATAAATAAATCTTCATCTACTTAGCTGAAACCTTTTAAAAGAAAATTGAGAACGATTCCCCTTCAGATAAAGTGCAGAAGTATCCCCTTAATCTACAGAAAACAGCTGCCATCAACCACTGAAACTCACACAATCTGACCACGAGTACAAATATTTTCCCTCCACGTGTGCAAATATACCTTTTATCAGAGTTTTCTGCAAACGAGCTGTGATCTAATTATTGAAATTGGTTATGGAAACACAGCAGATAACATCCTCAGACATATCACTTAAAGCTTTGGATTTACTCTAAATATCACCGGCTTTATGACTCTATTTAGTGAGAAACATTTTTTCTCCTTTTTTTGTGAGCAGCTTTGAAAGATGACTGTCGTTTGAAAGAATTAATCATTAGATAAAGTGTCTTTGAGTCCCACACACACAGTTTGGTGTGTTAAAATGATATGTTTTCATTTAATAACTCTGCCAGTGTTTGTATCACTGCTCTCCCAGACTTAGTATTTTCATTGTTGCCAAATCAACAACTTTGATTTTTTTTTTTTAAATAAAGGAGTAACTGATCTACCATCTTGAGTGTGTGACAGCACTCTGTCTGTTAGTCCTGTTCACTCAGCTGACCATAATGCAGTGATTTGTTCATTCCATGTGACCACGTTTTCTCTCGGATTTCACTTGTAAACACACCCAAAAGCAAATAAACAAAGCAAAGTCATCATATGTAGAGCTTTTCTTGAACAAAGTCCAGTTTTGTTAAAAATCAGTTAGTGCTTGTTAATATGTAGTCTCAGTGTGACAGATTTACTGGAAAGTCAGCTCAAAAAAAGGGCTGAAGAACATCCACGGACCACGTAGCAACGCTGACCCTCTTTTAAAACCAGACTGATTAAAAGATAATGTGGTGAAAAGGTCCACAATACAGGAAGTTTTCAAACTCTGATCAAACTTGTTCAGCTTTAAGCTTCAAAGATGATAAAAAGATTCTCTTCTGTTGTCTGTACTCTGGATCTTCCATCTCAAATCCTGTGTTGGTTCCATCCTAGAAGCTTTCCCCATGAAGTTTTTAGGCACATTTAAGTTTTTCTTGCAAGATGTTGAAGTTAAACAGACATGTTTTACCTCTGGATGTCAGAGATGAGCCACCAGGCCCATGCCCAACCTCCCACGACATACGTCTTGTCATCTGAACCACAGCAGCCACCTGTGGAGCCAGCACAGAGGAGATTCATGTCAAATGATCACTATTGACAGCCACTTTGGTTAGTTTAGTTGAAAATAGATGCAAAAACCAAAGCAGAGAATATATTTTCATAAATGTCTGATGCTGATTTTACTTTACGGATTTCATTTAACTTTCTGAGGAGGATGAAAAGTGTGTTTTGAAAAGGCATAACACACCTTCATCGATGTTTCAACCACAGTCCCCACATTGGGGAGTTTTTAGAGCTGCCTGCCCCCCCCCCCTTCTTTTGATAATTTGATGTTGCAGCTCTTCATGCAAACATGTAGCAGCATGTGGTTTACCAAACTGTAAAGGTTCACACGATTTAATCCCACCCCTTTATTCAACTCACACATCATCATTAACAGCCCTATGAAAGCTCAGATAGCATATTAAGACCAAAGATTAATTCCATAATTGTTATTTTCCTGTGGAGACGTTTACTAATGACAAGGCACAGGGTTTTGAAATGTCAATATTCTGCCTATATTCAAAGTTTCACTGACAAAAAAATTTGCAATAAATTGGGGATTTTTTTCAGTTGGGCCGCACATAGTGCTTCCTTTCACAGGGCCCCTGTCTGATAGTTTAATCTGGAGTGTTTGGTGTGACATTCCCAGCTGTCACATGTTAACTGACAGGAAGAAGAGGGGGCAGAGCCTGACTATCTTTACTACTTTAACACACTCCCAAACAACGTGTCATGGACCCATATATCACACAAAACGTGTGATAAAAAAAAAAAAAACTATAATAGCACAATTACAAGGCAAACTTTAGTTGAAGTTATTTCTGCTCTAAATCAGAAATCTCACTGTTTGAAAAAGTTGTAAAATCATATGTCCATAATTTTTATCCACTTTCTGATGAATATCCTACTTACTTACAGTGTAACATCGCAGATCTAGAATTACTCTACAAGATCAGAAGTGTCATTTCAGTGGAGCAAAGAGGAAAGGAACGGTTTTTAACTATGCAAACTGTCTCCCACTGTCGACTATAGTGAGGAACCTATGGACATACATTCAGGTCCACAACATTTTAAACACCGGCATATCTGAAATTCCTGACTGCATTTACCCCTCAATGAGGCGGGGAGGGGCTCCCTGTGAATGAAGGATACGTATAGTAAAAATCCCATTTCACACACAACACAGACACAATATGGCGGCACAACATGAAAGCAGGCTGTTTTTTTTAACCAAGCCAGTCACTGAAATGCTGTTTTGGCTCCCAATTAACTAAACCCCAATCTATTTAATAGCAGCCTGGACTGGTCCTGGATTCAGGATGTAAAGCTGACACCCACCCCCCTGCTCTCAGCCCTTGTCCCGGACATACTCATAAAAGTTGGTTCACAACGGAAAATCCCAAAGCTGGTTCTTTTTTCATATTCCACAAGCGTATTAGGCAGGAAGCTGCTGCTTCAGATTCAGACACAGAGGCTCAGCACAAATGTACAAAACCACGTAGAGTAATCTCTCTAAATAAAAGTGAGTTCTGAGGACTACCAGGTGTAATGTAGCCACAGGGAAATTTGTCTTGATTGATAGTTAATGGCCTTTAAATTAGTGACAAATACTATAGGTGGATAAAATGATCCCAGGCTATTGTATAGTCACATGTGTGTATGCAAAAACCAATTTGACCCTTGACATAGCAAAGAATAATAAATATTATGTATTGTGGGTTAGAGAAAGACCAACTAATGGCGACAACAGTATGCTGGCCACAGTGTGCAGACCACACTGTAACCAGCTTACTGAGCCCACCCCCTGTAATGAAATTAACTTTGCTTCTGCAGCAAAGCATCGCCATATCTAACCGCCAATGTCCATGGAAAAAAACAGCTAAAAAAACTATAGTTCATCTCCTCTGAATCTCTAAGCTGAAGGATGCAGCCCTGTAACGACACCTTTAGCTTATTTAAAACCCACAGTTTCATTTTAAAACCAAGAAAAAAAAGGAGAGAAAGAAAACAGACGGAGAGCCAAAACTGATCTAATACTAAACACAAGATATAAGCAAAGCGTGTGACAGGAAAACAGATTTTGGAGACGTAAATTACTATGAGATTAGCCTAATTGTATAAAATATATCCCCGAAGACAAAGAAAATGTATTTTGATGGCAATTTTATAGTTTGGGTTTTTGTAAGACAGAGAGTTTGTATAATTTCCAGAATTCTTCACTATGATGGAAATTAAAACATGGACATCTGTCTTATCTTCTTCCGAGGGGTAAAGGCGGGGGGGGGGAGGCTCGACAGATTAAGCATCCAATCGTGGTTTTGCTGTAGCATAATAAACCATACTGGCTAATGCTTTGAATGAGGGAAAATGTGTTCTTTTTCAGGGGAAAACATTCGTATACATAAGACATTTATGAAAACAATTCTTGAATTTAAGCACTTCAACGAGCTTGAAGCTCCGAAAAAAACACCTCGTCCGAGAAGCGTTTACGTTACCTGAAACCACAAGGGCCTCGTTCGGTCCAACGGTGTGGCAGTTTCCCATTTTAACGGCAGAAGAAACGTTTATTCACACCCACACACGGCATACAAAACTATATCGGTATATAAACTTGTCTTCTTGCTATTTTTTGTCTCCAGCTTTGAGTGTCTTCACGCCCCTACAGAAAATTTCAGTTTTTTTTTTCCAACATGGAGGTCCGACAGTCCTGTGACGAAACCAGACGTTGACAGACAGCAGCGTTCCGGGTTGTATTTTCTAAATAAAAGCTTCAATCTGTCCAATCGTGTGGTTTGGTTTTATTATGAAAATCTCTATTTTGTTTCTGAATTCTAATTATAGGTTGCTTGATGCACTTGGACGGTCTTCCCGCCCCTCTGTTTTAGCCCACCTCCGCAGCTCATGATTACGACACCACAATAATAAAGTAGGCGTGGTAGTTTAAATATCCTGTCACGCAAAGAAACCCAAGCAAGAATCTGTAAATTTCCTCAGAGGCCCTCGTGCCTAGCCACCTTATCACATGACATTTGTGTAATGAAAGACTGTCCAGTGGAAATACATTGGACAAATGCAACAGTTGGACTTGAACATAAACACTAGCTATGACCAGGGCGCAGAATGATTGCCTCTCTGTTATCTAAAGTTTCATACTGATAAATATCGTGTGATCTTATGAAAGAAAACAGTCCAAAGGGTGATTTAAGGTTTCCAAGGATTGGCTCAAGATTGCATATATATATCGGATAAGGAAGATTTCTTCCTCATCCGATATATATTTCTTCCTCAACGATACATGCATTTAGAGTAAACCTGTACTGTCAGTTTTCCATACTTCCCAGGTGGATGGTAGACGTATGCATGTGTGTTACCACGCTAATACAAAAAGAGGAGATATGAAAGGACAGGAAAAGACTGGAGTTGTCACTGTGAAGCCGGCATGTGGAAATCTAAACCACAGCTCTTGTCATGGTTGACACAATCTCTACAACTGCATCAGCAAACAGGTTGAGGTCAAATTACATCGACACCTGTTTTTACAGGGACGCATCTACGTGATTTAGGCCTTAATAATGAAATTGTAATAACACAAAAGCCCACAGACTGGTGATCATCTTCCTAATTTAACTACTTAGGTGTGGGAAAATAAGACAGAAAACAATTCAGATAAGTGTTTTTATATTTGAGGAAAGTGGTATCATGAGGAGGTTAAAATGAAGTCACTGTTCCATCTGTATTGTGTTCAACGAAGATATAAAATTAATTTCTGTATATCTGAGGTTTGGAAAAACAGGACATGTATTGAGCCATCACAGGCCTGCGAGTGAACCTCGTCCTCTCTGAGGTCCCCACAGTTCCACTGTCTTACTTTCACCATCTCCCGTTTCGTCCTCCTGACTGGTGGGAGCTCCATGCTCCTGTTTCCAGCCACAGAAACCAAAGGCATGTTTTCAGTTCTGTGATGTTCTTCTTCTTTATAAAGGCTTTTCGTCTCCCAGTCGGCTGTGTTTCCCCTTTTACCCGACTGTCTAAAGGAAGCTTTTGTGCCATTGTTTTCAACTGCCTGGTATCTTCTCTTCCTTTCTCACCTCAATGGGCTTTTATATTATAGATAGGCCTCCACTGAGAGAAGAGCATGCTTAACCCCATAATGAAAACTTTGCTGAAAACTCTGTTGTACACAATGAAATATAACTGATAAACGCAGGCAGAAGACTACACAACAATAATTTTGACTTATTGCACAATGATAAATGATGAATATTCAGAAATGATTTTTGTTTTTCTGAATATTTTGATAAAGAGCCAAATATAGACCTCAAACAAAAAAAATATGTTTTCTCATTAAGTCTTGGATCAGACTTTAAAGGGTTAATAGCTAAATGAATTTCTTCCTTGGGTTAGAGGACCCATTGTGAATTATAGTGCACTGTGATTATCATTATCTTTAAGGGCTTTCTCTTAATAATGTTTACTTTCCCACTTGGCAAAGAGAGTAAATGTTTACTCTCAAATGTCAGCATGGGAGATATGTTTCCCACACAAGTTATATTTGATAATTCAGCACGTCATTAGATATATCCATCTGGGTTTTGAATGTCACTGCTTATTAATAACACAAACAAACAAATCCATGCACGTGATAGGAGCTCTTTAGAAATCTGCTTTGAAGTTTGAGCTGGTGGTTGTTTTTACCCATATCTCTGCTGTCATATGTCATAAAGGATAAGAAACATGATTTGTCTGACTGTGACAAGAAGTTTTCACAACTGCACAAAAAAAGAAAAAAGACATCCTAAATCAATTCTTCAAAATATGAACTCAGCATATTTATTTATCTATGATCTAAATGTAATTAAAAACCACATATCAGGCAGAGTTTTTGCTCGGCTGTTAATTAGAACAAGCTTTTTCCTCATGTGCGAGCCACAAGCTGCCGTGTTTCTGCTCAGCTAATCATTAATGATAGTAAAAGGAATGGTTATATCACCCCAGAGCTACTTAAATCCCAATCAGCTTCAGCATGGAGTTTGGGCCTGGACGAGCAACAAAGATGACACAGGGAGAAGGTTTGGACCAGGAGCACAGCAGACCAACATGGAGCAGGCAGATAGAGTTCACTCTGGCCGGCATCGGCTGTGCTGTGGGCCTGGGGAACGTTTGGAGGTTCCCTTATCTCTGCTACAGGAGTGGAGGAGGTGAGAATGCCCACCACAAATATATCATGAAACTCTCAGTACCTATGTATTCCAGTAGCTAAAGCTAATAGAACATGTTAGCAATTACAATGACAAACGCTTTGTTCATAGCATATCTAAATGTTTTCATTGCTCAAATGTATCATGGAAAGGTCTTACTGTGTATTTTTTGTAAGAACGTGTTAGTTTAAACCTGTTTAACATACTTAAAGCTGCCCATACATTTAAGAGCTCCACTGATTTACAGTGAGAAAAATAATTATTTAATAGATGATTACCTCCCGTGACTGTAACCAAAGATTTAAAATATATGGAAAAAAAAACACAAGTGCATGTGGGCTCTCACAAAAGTTAAAGATTACAGGATGCCATAAAACTAGCCTGACCCGAAGATGACTGGGCAGAAATATGCAAGAGGTCACTGGGCATCACCTTTTCTCCAGGTGCCTTCCTGGTACCCTACCTGCTCATGCTGGTGGTGTTGGGGATCCCTCTGCTGTACATGGAGCTCACTGTGGGCCAGTACACCAGGAGAGGGCCCGTCCACGCTCTGGCTAGTGTTTGCCCTCTGCTAAAAGGTATTTGTCCACAATTTCCCACTGATTGCTGACACTCCATAGAGATTTTTAAAAAACACATTTGTTTAACGTTATTTTGATCTTATCTCAGGAGTGGGCATGGCATCGGTGGCCATCTCCTTCATTATGTGCACCTACTACAACATCGTCATCACCTGGGCCCTGTATTACCTCTTTAGCTCCTTCCAGGCTCCTCTTCCCTGGGAAAACTGCAACAACACCTGGAACACGGCAAACTGCACCAACCATGCCACAAACAGCAGCTACTCCTCCACAGCCAGCCAAGAATTCTTCAAGTGCGTTTAATGGGGGGGGGGGGAGCGCTGGTTCTCACACAGATCAAACCAGGACAGATAATGATTACTTTAGAGGATCCTTACTAAATAACTTTCAGCTCACCTTAAGCCTGGCAGTTTAGATGATCTTAAACTCAAGCAGTTATGGGAGAATTGCCCAAAACATTTGGCTTATAAAGATAAATATATACATTATCATTTTTTTACTTTCAGCATTTTAAAGATCTTCTTAAAAGAGGTCGCTTTGTTCTCTGGAGCTGAGTGTGTGGACAGTGGAGCAAAACCTCACGTTTTCACATTTACTCATTAACCCGTTTCACACCTTTCATCTTGGACTCCCTCCAAGGAATACATGCATAGAAGCAGATCAGCTAAATGTTGAAAATAAAACCATAAAAGTCTCCTGTAGTAAAATAAGTCTTAATTTATTAAAAAAGGAATGTAATTCATGCAGTTATTTTGAAAGAAAACCAACTTTTGGTGAAGCCTTTAAATCTCAGTCCTGGGACCCAGGAATAAGGATTTTATCTAAACTTTCCGAAACAGAAAACATGTTAAATGTGAAACATCTTACTATTTCCCAAGAAGTATGGGCTCATAACTCTAAAACAATGTTGGGACAGAGCCATGTTTATGTTGCATCCACTCTTCTTTTAACAGCAGTCTGTAAACATCTGGCAGAGGGAACCAGTAGTTGGAATGGGTTGTGTCGAGAATATTCCAGCTATTCTTTTTGTTATGTTTTGGGCTTCGTGATGCTCTCACATGCTTTTAACGGAAGTTTTGGCTTCCCCTGAAAAATATGTTTTATTTCTCAGAAGCTGAAAATACAGTTTAACATTGACAAGGGTTTTCCAGATGTGCATGTAGCAGGCGTTCAAAAAAGAATGATGCAGAAAGATGTTTTCTCAATCGCATCAATCATCATTGTTCATTTTGATATCTTTGAAGATTCAAAATGCTCGACCAGACCAGTGGAGTAGAGGAGGCAGGAAGTTTGCGCTGGCAGCTTTTCCTTATCCTCATACTGGCTTGGATCCTCATCTACTTTTGCATCTTCAAAGGTGTGAAATCAACAGGAAAGGTGAGTGTAATGAAGGAGAAAAGTGTGTAAAGCATGCGAATATCACACTTTTTTTTTTTTCTGTGCACAGGTGGTGTACTTCACTGCTCTGTTCCCGTATGTTATTCTGATCGCCCTGCTGATCAATAACGTGCAGCTTCCTGGAGCCTTAGATGGGATAACCTTCTTCATTGTGCCCGAATGGGACAAGCTCCTCTCAGTGGAGGTAAAACACAGAAGAAAGATGGAAAAAATGAAAACTTTTTGTGTTGGCCACACGTGAAGATGAGTGACTGGGGCTGTTTGGCAGGTGTGGGTGAACGCTGCCGCTCAGATCTTTAACTCCATTGGGATTGGTTTTGGCTCCCTCCTGGCCATGTCCAGCTACAACTCATTCAACAACAACGTTCTGAAGTAATCATCCGCTCATCCTGATCCATTCATGCTCCTCACCCTTCAGTAATAACGATCCCTGAAGTATCTAAAGATAGTCTTTTCTCCACACAGGGACACACTCAGCATATCTATTATCAACTCCATCACCAGCATCCTGGCAGGTTTTGTCATTTTCTCGGCCTTTGGATACATGTCTCATCTCCAGGGCATTCCTATCGACAAACTGGCAGTGGATGGTAAGAAAAAGAAAAAAGGCTTCCGTGTGGGTTTTAAAATATCTGTATTCCTGTGTGGCTATGGTTCTGTTTTTTAAACTCTACATTTTAGTGATTATATCCCAAAATGAAGCCACAGTACAAATGAGAAAATTATCTCTTGAAAAGAAAACTGCATTGTTTAATAGTGATTCTATTGCTATTAGACACCTCCCTGACCTGAAAGAAGCTGCTTCCACTTAATATGAGTGCCTGAGGGGCCCGATAAAGATTAGACTTATTCCTTAAATGGTTTGGAAGCAGGCCAACATATGAGGAATCATTCAGTTATAATTGTTAACTAATTAGAATTGATGCTAACTATTCATCAGGGCATTTCATATAGTGATTGTTTGTGTATGTCCAGGTCCAGGATTGGTATTTGTAGTTTACCCACAAGCCTTTGCCAATATGCCAGTGTCTCAGCTCTGGGCCGTGATGTTCTTCTTCATGCTGCTTTGCCTCGGACTGGACAGTGAGGTAGAAAACTGCACGTGAATGTGAATGTGACACAAAGGAACAAATAATTACATTTTTATCAAAGGTTGACTCAACAGCTGTGTCTTTGCTCGCCAGTTTGCAATGGTCGAAGTGATGGTGACCAGTCTCATGGATCAATTCCATAAAGAAATGATTAATATTTTCAAGAGGAAGGAACTGATTGTTCTGGCCATTTGTGGCGTGGCCTTGCTTCTGGGTATCCCTTGTGTCATGCAGGTAGGTGCTGCAACTTACTTGCTAACATCTAACCAAAAGAAGGAGAAACTGTTCTAAAACCTGAATCCTGATGAAGGGGTCTCTTTTCAGGTGGGGATCTTTGTGTTCCAGCTGATGGACCATTACACAGCCATCGTCTCCATCATGTTTTTGGCCTTCTTTGAGATCATTGCCATCTGTTGGTGTTATGGTGAGGTCTGCACGTTGAGCACACCAGCAGGTGGTGCCTTGTGGAGGTTGACTTCTTCTCTGATTGTGCCTAAAGTACATCTCCACTTGCAGGTGTGAATCGACTTTCAGCCAATTTGAAGGAGATGACCGGCAGAGAAGCAAACATCTTTTTCAAAGTGTGCTGGCTCATTATTGCTCCTGTGCTCATCACTGTAAGTATTTTTTCCACACATAGATCAGGATGGCCGCCCTCTCTTGGTCTGCCTCTGACGGAGGCTTCTTCCTGTTAAAAGGGAGTTTTTTTTTCACCATTGCCTTCAGCACACTTGTGATAAGAGATCAGATCAGATGAAATTGAGGTTTCAGTGGCATCAGCTGATTTCTAAGCTTGACATCAGTGTGGATGATAAACTGGAAACTTGCCCATGGTGTACTCCACCATTCAGGTTCATGGATGAATCCAAAGAATCACAGCTATAGTCCAACCAGCAGTGTCAACTAAACCTTTAAACGTTCTGTCTCCTGGCAGGTCATCCTGATTTTCTCCATCATCCAGTTCAAACCAGCGCGCTATGAGGATTACGTCTTCCCTCCCTGGGCTCAGGGGGTCGGCTGGGTCATTGCACTGGCCTCCATCATTTGGATTCCTCTGGGTGCCCTTCACACACTCTGGGTGCTACCTGGCTCTCTCATGGAGGTGATGTATAACCTACCAATAATGCGGCCTTTTGTGCATTGATATTAAATTGAGCTGTGCCTGAATATTTGTATCTATCCTCAACAGAAACTGAAGCTGTCCATCACACCGTACGCCCTGAATGAAAAATCAAAGATAGCGTATTTTGAGAGGGGAGGGATCAACGGACAACCTGCCATATCCGTCATCAATCTACCTGAAAAGGGTCCGGTGGCAGCTTACTTTTAAACTCAAGTCAGTCACAGAGTAATGTTAGCTGTCAATCTCACCCACTATTTGGTCAGAATATTTAGTCAGAAGTATGTTACAAAAAGCATTCAATTGACTGTGAGAATCTATCACTGCGTTTCTGCCATGCAGACAAAACGTTAATTGATGAGATTTGATATGCTATCTTTATTTAATTGTGTTTTACAGAATCTCACATTGGACAAAACAGTGTTTAATTGCTCTCATTTGTACTTTATTTGGCTAGAGTGCCATCTATGGGTCACATCTGTTTACCGTTTGGGACCATGTTCATGTCTGGAAAATTGATACAGCACTTTTTCCATGATAAAACAAGTTTATGCCAGTATTTAACATGAATTAGGTTGGAGTGACCTTTTAACCGTACCACCTCTCTTAAAAAGCACATAAATTAATTGTTGCCGACTCATTTATTTGTTTACTGCAACACGGCTGATAAAAACCACTGATAAATCGCAGATGAGTCGCACAACTGCATGTCATGCAAGGTGTAATAAAAACCTGTTTAAAGTCCAGGGTTTGTGTGTCTGCGTGAAATGATAAGATGACCCAAAAAGGCTGACATTCAAGGAACAAGGCGTGTATTGTCTGGGAAACATTATTACTTATTTATTCATTAAACGAGACATGTCAAGTAGAAGGGAACATGTTTAAGGGAACAGGAGTACTGAATTTATTTTATTGCCTACACAAGATATTAGTGTTTCCTTCTGGTAGGTCCTAACAAAGTAATCCAAAGTGCATAACAATACCCAGGCAAAACGGTAGAAATCCACATGCTTAGCACACAAAGATGTGTCTCTTTAAACTTTCCCTTACCCCTCACATAGGGTTCACAGATCCAGAGATGTTTGTGAAATCGTACAGTGAATAATGGAGCAGATGATGGTGGTGGTGGTGGTGGCGGATAGACTTTATTGTTACTCACAGTGGGTGTGACATAGCATTGTTTAGGATTAGTCAACGTAAGACCACGGCTATCTGCTAGGAAAAGTTAAAATATTTATTAAAAAAGAAAAAAGAAAATTACCATTAACATAATAGACAATTATTCTTTTAATTAAATCTTCCAGAAAAAAAAAAAGATATGTTTTGTAACCTACAAAAAATAAACAAAATGTGCAATCAATCACATGCTCTTCCGTCTGAGGTGGCAGCCGCGCGGACGACCACACGGCGCAGCAGCAGCCCTCTTTGTTTGTTCCTACAGAATTGGAGTCGGCGCTCTTCAGGACGGAGCCCAACAATCGACTAGGTTGCTCCATTCAGTAGTATTTTAGCAGTGGTTTACACAGTCCACGCCCGTCATTTCCTCACAAACCCTCTGTAAGGCTCCTGCGCTCCTTGGTCACGCCCCTGCAGACCGAACACAACTGTATTTGATTTGCTCTAACCCCCCCGCCCCATCCAACCCCGTCCCAACCCACATGCCCAGCAGAGGCTGCTAAGGAGTCACCGTGGCTGCTGTCGTCCTGCAGTTTCCAGCCACTGCTACGACACCTGCTCGACTGGCCTCATCTGCACGTCTCCGATCTGGTTTAAAAGCCAACAAACAAATAAAGCACAGGTGAATAGAGGAAACTGTGGATGCGGGGTAAAAAAAAGAAAAGCCCGAAGCACACAGAGGTACCTCAACGTGAGGAGGGGCACTGAGGACATATGTGACTACGCTGGCTATATCCTCCGCTTTCAAACACTGAAAAACACAGAAACGTTATTTGACACAACTCCACATTGTGAAATTTATTTACTGGTGGGGATGGACTACAAAATCTTACTTTTATACTCTCGTACACGGCAGCTGCTTTCTCTGGATCACTGTCGTGGAGCCGGAAGGCAAACTCGGTCTCCACTACTCCTGGAGATATGCACTGCAGGAGACGGACACCGCGTGAGACATTCACTGCCAAAACTTAAACGTAATCTTCCGTTTCAGCTGCTCGGACTGCATAAGAGCTCTACTCTGACGGACGTTAAGTGACCCCGATGGTGCCGACCCTCCTGACATTACTCACGGTGGCTCTGATGTGAGTGTTGGCCTCTCGGAGCTCCTGCCGTATCCCCTCAGTCAGAGCCGTCACAGCGTATTTAGTGGCCGAGTAGAAATGCGTGTTAGCATTTGGCAAGACTCTGTGCCCACTCATACTGAAAAAGGGAGCAAACGAGCGAGAAATAAGAGCGAGTAATCCCTTTTTCTACCCGATTTCCTTTTTAACGTTCACACAAATATAGTCGATATGAACGTCTAAATTAAGATGTCTGAACATTAAAAACCACACAAAAAAATAAATAAACATCGCTTAGTACACATTTGATCAGCTTACTCTCCATAATGACACAGTTTGCGGTTTAATGTCTAACTTGTGCCAGAAGGTGCTCCCTGTTTGCTTTACTTAACTCCTGCTGGATTAAAGCCACCTTGAACAAACTATACATGTGTTCTTAGATTTGTAGGCTGTTTGCATAGCTTACCTGTTAATATTGATGATGTGACCATCGTCCACATTCCTCTCCTTCATTGATTTGTAGGCCTCGCGGGTGCAGATAGACAAGGCTAAGACATTCACCTAGAGGAGATGTGAGCAAATGGCTCTTACCATTCATGGAAATATTCTGTTTGGCATGAGATACTTTCCAAATTCAGAGCCCAGGAACAGTAGCGAAGCCAAAGAGTGACAAGCAATGAGGTTATAACGCTATGCTTTTGGACAATCACATTTAACAACTCCGTGTGATGACCCACAGCCTGATGTTCACTGGGTCAGTGTGTTAAACCACCTGAACCTGCTCATCCTGTCCAGGCTTGTGGTTTCTAAGCTGTCGCAGAGACACTGACAGACTGCAGGTTAAGGCCTGCATGGTAGCAAGATGGAGTGTGTGTGTGTGTGTGAGGGTGACCAAACAAGGTCAGTGTACAGATTAAACACAGGCTAAAAATACTCCACTGTGCACATTCATGCTGGCTGCCATGACAACAGATGGGTGAGCGTTATAAATGCTGGACCCTGGAGACGGAGACCTCGGAGCGAGAGGGGTCTTCAGTGGTCAAGAGCTCAATGAATCAAAATGCTAAGTCCCAACAAGAGAAACGGTGCTGGCTTTCATTAGTTGGGCTTTGCTGTGCCAGAGCTTTTCCTCACAGCCAGAGTGAGGGGGAAAAAAAAACCTTTGCGGGTTTCTCAAACACTACACACACAAGACTCCCCCTCCTGAACCTCCTTCTGGTTCAGTTGCTCCCGTTTTTCTGGAAACCGACAAAAACACGAAGGATGGCTCAAGTTCTCCCCTTTTAAAAAGCAATTTTTCTTACACGGTGGCTGGACCTTCACATACAAACTGGGCTTGCTTTCACTCACGTCGATCATGTTCCTCCAGCCCTCCGTCTTCCCGCTGAGCAAAGGCTCGCAGTGAGCCAGGCCTGCGTTGTTGATGCACACATCCACGCCCTTGTGCAGCGTCTTGATGGCTGAGAACATGGACAGGATCTCCTCCTCATTGGACAGGTCGCACTTGTAGGGAATCAGCGTGCCGCTGTAGCCCGCGCTCTGACATTCTGCTGCCAGCTTCTGCAAAACAAAAAACCAGCTCCGTTCAAATGGAGCCGTGTTCACCTGCTGATCTGGAGAAGTGCGAAAGAGAAAGGTAAAGGCTACTAATGATTAACTTGTAACAGGAATGAACACAGCACCCTCTCAGGGACACAGAAAACAGCGACTAGATGGAACCTGTCAGTACCAAAGCCCCCCAGCAGGCATCTGTGCTCACCTCTCAAAGCGCACTAACCACTGGGACCTGAGCGGCCCTTGAAACATTATTACACGTCAGGATCAGGCATTAAAAAGCTCATTTAAAAATCCATTTTCTATTCATGTAAAACGAGTGAGACTGCCGCTGGGTCCAAAATGGATGTGATCCTCCTGTGGGGCACCACTGCTGTGCCGGTCGGCCAGGAGGCAGCGTGGGTGACGGAGGCCCCGCTGGTGGTGGTCTAACTCTCTGGCCGCACGACTGCTTATCTCAACAAAAGGATTACATGGTAAAAAAAACAAAAAAAAACAATAAGCAAAGAAGCATAAACGGCAGGCGTCCTACTTCAGGTTGAGAACCACAGCGATGCTAACATGTTCCAGACATGCTCTTAACTGGATTATGGGAGCAAATCTTAGATTTATTTGAATTCCAAACCTTTAAGTTTGTGTTTGCTGTGTTTGTTTTTTCCTCCTTCCACAAATGAGACTTCATAAAGAGACTTGATGTCATTTTATCAATTGCTCATTGCTAAATGTGTCAGCTGTTTAGCCGCTGAGAGCTATCCATACCATTTATCTTCCACGTGTCTGTAGTGTCGGTAAAGCCTGTAGAAAGTTAGACTTTGTGCACAAGATTGTCTGCGGTATCTGGTGAGGGTGCCCTCAGCTCCATCTAGCCCCTATGTGGAGCGTTCCCCCACATTCACACAGTGAATTTGACCAGTTAACAAGTCTACAAATAGTCTACAAAAACAGTAGCTTGTCCTCTGCAAAAAGACACTGGTTTAACAACCTGACTGCAGTTATTTACCATAATTTACACCAACTTCAGATTATCATTCCTCAATTAAGATATTCAACCTTTTTTAAAACTGGTCTATTATTCAGTTTTTCTCAGTTCAAGGTGTGCATCTTCATATTCCAACATTTAGTCAGTTTTAAAAAAGCGTTTGCCCTTTCTCAGTCACACTCCTCCCCACTGGTTACCATAATTAATTCTAGCTACGGATGAGGAAGTCAAAAAGCTACATTTTTATCTTTTAATTCTTTATCTTATCAAAGTACCGGCAGAGTTTTGACTAATTGTTATGCCACAAGATTCCAACAAAGTAATTGCAATAATCAGGAACCTGTGCCTTTCTTTGGATGCACTATGGTAATGTTTCTATTGGACTACGAGCCAATAGAAACATAACCGTTTTTTTATTTTTGGGAAGGAGGATTTGGCTTTAAAAGCAGAGGCAGGTAGAAAGTGCTTACTCATAGCTAAATATTCACAACACTGTTATGCTGCTAATCCCTGAAAATGCTACACGCCATGTTTCAATTCAGAACAAGCAACATAATCCAAACTGATCAACTCAGATAAATAAATGTAGTCACCCTAATGCTACTGTAAAGTGATACAAAAACTAGTAAACCTCTGCTTATAGAAACACGGCAATGGCATTAATATCTTTAATTATTTTCATGATTATTATGATATAAAAAACTATACTTTTATGGCCTGCATTTACAATTGGGACGGCACGGATTAAAGGATGACGGTCATTTTTCCCCTAAGCACACGTTTAATAGTGTGCGAACCCTCTCCAACACTGAGCGTGTGCAGATTTCACCGTTCTTCCCCTAAGCCGTTTAACTCAGATTATCCAGAGAGAAGGCATTATCCGAACAAAGCGGTCAAAAGGCTAAAACCCTGAAAACACTTCACCAAAAGGCACAACAATCTCTTTTTTCTCCTGCTGTTAATAGGTGAGCGGCTCCCCGTCCGTCATTATCTCTGATGGGATGCTGGAATGCCACTAAAGCAGAGCTCCTGGGCTTCACACTTCTCTGGATCCCTGTTGGGACAGGCACTCGGGCAGGAATGAGCCGGCAGGCAACCTGCTGAAGAGGCTCCAGTTTTATACAGGAAGAGGAGGGGAGCGTGTGGGAGAAGCGGGAATTAGTCGTGTTATTGAGGTTGAAGTGGGAGCCGAGGAGCAAAGCAAAGTCGTTGGATCTTGGTCCAACGACAGGAAGTCTCAGGCTGTGAATCTGTGTGTGTTTGCGCAGGCGGGCGTGTTCTGGCACCGGCTGCGCTGCTGTGGTCACCATCATAGCTCACCCTCACCACACCTACAGTGCTGGCCTCCAGATAAGCAGCCGGGCTCAGTAATGTAACCGCCGCAGAGGTGGAAAATGCATCACAATTTGGTCCTGATCTAAAGGCAGAGTGCAGTATCAGACGTTTTGAAGTAAAAGGGCCACCATGCATCAGTACAACACAAATGATTCACATCTATAAGACAGATGGCATTACAAGAGAACCCAAGTCCATTTCCTGCCATGATATATGAAGAAAACACACATGAACAAACCCCGACAGTTGCATTCACGGACCATAAACCCAGCAGGGGGCCGTTATATAAAAGGTACACATTTCAAGGGACATCATTGTCCCACAATGGGCTCATCAATCATTCATTCGCCAGTGTGAGGATGGAGCAAATGGACCAGCAAAACGGCTCACCACAGAAATGGGAACTGATAAAAGAAGGGGAAAAAAATACAGATGCCAAAGTGCTGAGGGCAGAGAGCTTCACGAGGTGATACAAATCAATAGCACAAGGCGGCCTCCACGAGCGGAGAAAGCTGGGAGATTAGATTTGTCTCGGCTCTGCTCAGGAGTCCGCTCACACAAGAGGGGTTGTGTTATCGTGGGCTGTGCCCCGTTTGGTAGGTGGCAACATAAAAAAAAAAGCATTAAAGAAGAGATGCAAAACATCCATTGGGTTCTTTAGCCAGTAATCCCTCCCTCATCCTCCCCGTCCCATCACTTAAGCACCTGGAACACGCAACAATTTTCCCTGTCAAAATGCATTTTCATCCTCATTACTCAGGCTGTTGTCCAGTGTTAAAAAAAAAAAAAAAGAAAGTGTGGAGGAGGGAGGACAGTGGGGGGGGTGTTGGCAGCCAGAAAGTGAAACAGAAGGAGAGCCAGAGAAAGAGAAAACACACGACAAAGCAAACTGCATTATTGCTTATTAAAGCTGTTTTGCTCTGGGCAGCACTCCTGAAACACTGCTCCATCTTGATCCTTGAATCCGATCTTTTAAGATTGATTCGCCCTTTGAATCATCAGCCAGCTCAACGTTTTCGCAACATAATAAAAACAACGTTTCTACTTCGTCTGACACATTGATGCGGACAGAGGGGTCAAAGGTGACAGAGGGCTGTATAACAGGGTGGACGGGAATGTCGTGTGATTATCTGCTGAAACTCGGCCTCAAAAAGGTCTAAAGGTCGAGCTGGGTGGCTTTACAGCCCTACGTCTAATCAAGAGGAAAGAGATAAGGGGAATAATGACTCCATTTGTTTGTTACTACACGTATTAACAAATGGGGAATTCCAACAAAACGAAGGGAGAGATGAAATAAAGTGGTATTACCGTGTTCAAAGTGGGGAACAAATGATGCTCAGTTATATTTGAACATGTGTTTGGATCATAAGGAAAGGCTCCCTGGCCATGGCACACTAAACATGGGGCTCTGGGCCAAGTGTTGAGTAACAACATGGTGAAACCCATGTGGTACCCACCAGGTAAAGACGGCCGGTGCTGAAAGACCGAAATAGTCCAAAGGGTGACAACTCCTCTGACTACCTTTTACCTTCAGAGAGCAGCCTGTATTTGTATGGTCACCTGGGCGTCATGTGATGTGTAAAAGTCGACCTGTTTATAGTTTGCAGTTGACACCTGGCTGCAGGCGGACCAGCATGCACTGCAGCATTCCTCAGGCACACCTGACCCATCCAGCCTCTGTGGCAACACCTCGGCAGGCCCCAGGCCGGATGGAAGGCAGAGCTCTGAGGCTGCTGAGCTTTTGCCGGCACAAGTCCCGAGAAGGCAGCAAAAAACGGGAAAAAAGTTGAACTCTCTCACGTGGGCCGACCGTAGTTCAATTAGACATGAAACGAGACCAAAACGGGACTAACGCAAAGTCATAAATCCGATTTGGCTGCTACTGGAATGAAAAAGAAGAATCCAGTGCTTTAATTCCTCTGTGTCTGGAAAACTGAACTCAATCAACATTAGCTATCTGTGCGTTTGTTTAAGAGATTCATGAAAAGAAAAAAAAAAAAAAATGAAAAGAACCCCACATGTCAGAGAATGTGCTTCACATGTGTCTGGGTCTCTCATTCAGGCACAAGCAGCGACCTGCTGCCGCCCGCTGCATTTTTCCCTCCTCGCACACCGACGCAGCCCGCACAAAATCCCACCGGCAGAGCTGGGAAAGGAGCAGACAGGGCGGGGGGCGCTGCGAGCCTGCAGAGGCCACGCCGGCGTCGGTGGAACCGGAAAACTTTAAATGTGACGAGCAGAGAGGAGACAGCGCGGCGGCGGCGCAGGTGGAGCGGCTCACCGGGGGTCGCCGAGCTGTCGGGGCCAATCAGACCTGTAACTATTGTGTAAGAGAATCAGATGGTCCGCAACGTTATGCAATCAAAACTATTTTCCGAAATCAGCGTCCTCCTCAAAAATCGGGCTTCGCGTCCAGACCGGGCTGCTGCTTAGTGAGGATTCATACATGGCAAAAAGGCTGCTTTTAACTGTGCTGGTGCAACTAATGTAACTTCCCCTGGGTTGGGGGGAAGGTGGGGGGGCTGCATCCATGGAAACACAATGCAGGATTACATGCAGCAGGTTTACGTCCCCATCAGCTTACATGGAAACTACAGAGTCAGGGAAAAAGCTCTCTGCGTAGGTAAGATGTGCAAGCTGGCGAAAGTTGATGAGCTCGGAAGATCATTCTGCTCTCAGAATGAAGAGGTGGCTCTGAAGGCGACGGCAGGGGGCTTTTCTCTCACGGCCGACGAGCAGTGACGCAGCAGAAAGCCCTTCTTTGAAGCAAAAAGGCCGCTGTATTAATAGATCCTTCCCCGGGTGTCTAAAGAACGCAACAAAATATCGACAGAGACCGGCCCAGACGACCGCGTCGCTGTTTATTTGGATCTCTGAAATGACGAGAGGAGACAGGAAGAGAGACGACGGAGAGCTGGGAACTCGGAGTGAGACAGAGGGGGCCGAGCCGCCTGACCTGACCCACTTCGGCGGCCTCCTGGGGTGAGAAGTGTGCGCTGTGACTGGACAGGACGGGCCGTCCAGACACGGCCCGCAGGAGGCGTCTGGCACCACGTCTCTCTGCCTGCCAGTCAGCAGCACACTTTCACTGTGCCACTTCACGTTCTCAGGCATGAGCGAGCACCTTTTAACCATTTCAGAATGGCTCAGACTGCTTCTGGTTCAAGAACCTTGAGGCTTGGACCAGCTGACACAATTAAAAAAGGCCAAATTCTTTCCTACAGGTGCAATGACATACTAAAAACATGGGAAAGATGTCCGTTACTTAACCTCCTCATGTTCTCTGTATCCTTATCCCAGAATGTTTTCCTTTGAGACTAAGCCGAACATTTCAAAGAGATTATCTTATGAGGGAAGTAAATTCTGCTCATCTCTGGCTCACTCAGACTCTGCCTGCATGCCCTGTGCTCGAACATTTCAAACATAAACCACACATATAGGGATGAGCGTGTCCATAAATACGAGAGGGAAAAAAAAAGGGAAACTTTACATCCAGATTGTAAAGATTTATCAATAATTCATCAAAAGAATGAAGGAAAACCACATACTTTCCCCACTGGTTTTCTGGCTCTTAAAGGCTCCAGTTTCAACGCGAGCTTACCTTTCCATACAAACACAGGATTTTATGACAGAGCACAGCCACACCCAGCTATGCTGCTCCTTTAGACTAACCCTGAACTACAATCACTTTAAAAGATAAAAATAAACTAACTTTTTTTTTCAAATAAAGCGAGTACAGGCCGTACTGTCCCATCCGAATGCAGAATTAGAAAGACGGGGGGAAAAAAATGGTCCAAAAGAATTCAAATTTTACCTGTGTGTTAAAGGCAAACTAAAAAACCACTAATCAGAGGAAAGGAAAAGCAAAATTGTGGATTTTTTTTAACCAAAATGGACAAGAAAAGGTTTAGAATGAGTGTATATTTGTATTTCAAACTGTTGCTCTGAGTCGTGAATGATCAGCACCTCGGTTCATTCTCCCATAACTGGGTTTTTACTACAGTTTTACAGTGTAAGCAGACACTCGCCACACATATGGGCTATGTGGGCCCCACTGCTTTGGAGACATGAAAAAGACTTTAAATCTGTCTAAGACAGCAGTGCAGATACTATTCTTATCCACAAAAGCTTCTTGGTTTGCATTTGGAGCGTCTCACAAGAGGGAACAAAGGAGGAGCTGAGTTTTTGCCGCTTGGCCCCGTCGTCTCCATTCCTGCACACAGCTCATGGCGACCACACATCCCCGTCCAGCTGGCTGCTGCTCCGCTGCCTACTTTGTACCCTCTCTGACAACAGAACAATGCCCCTGCCACAAACTCCCCGATCCGATTTTTGTTTACACAGAAAACAGATGCGTGTAATGTTTGAATGCCGTTTTCTCTACGCTTTTTTTTGTTTGTTTTTGCTGCTTTACTGCCACCAAAAATGCTCTGCGTTTTACTTCCCGATGTAAAGCTATTAAAACCAAAAGGGAAGTTAGGACCAATTGCTTGGTGATGCATGGACGCATGCAGTCTCCATGAGCAGCGTGCCAGGATTGGCAAAGGACCGGCTTTGGCGCACAATCCTCCCGGCCTCTCTCTGGGGACACACACAAGAGGTGATCAAACGTACGATTAGAAAGGCAGAAGCCGTTCACACTACACAGCTGGAGAGTTGTCTTCAGACGGTCTAATAGAGGCTGGCTGCGCCTGACGGTTAGACGGTCAGTTCCAGCTGGCTGTATATTAAGAAAAAGTGTCTGAGCTGGAGAGTTGAAGGCTTGTGACCTTGTTAGGCTTCGCAGAAGTCACAAATGGGCTGACACAAGCTGCATTAGTTAACTATTGACAGAAGAGACCATGTGACTAGCGTATGAATGGAGGGAGGCCATCTATTGAGCAATCCCCACACACTGTATACTGCTGTGGGCATGTTTGTGAGTCCTATATATATATATATATATATATATATATATATATATATATATATATATATATGTATTCATAAAAAAAAGACCCAGCAGCCTTTTTCTTGAATCACTGTAAACAGCTGGTTTATATACGGGTTCAAATTGAATCTTTGTGAGTTCTTGCAAGCGATGTTGCACCATTACACCCGTCAGGATTTGTGAGTCGGTTACCTAAAGTCTGTAAAAGGTTGAGAAGCAGAAGTTAGTCCGCCGGATGTTGGACAATACTAACTACGCTCCATCTCATTCTGGTCTCTTGTCAAACCAATAAAAACATGGCGTGTGTAACGCAACATGGCATCAACATGGATGACCCCTAAAGAAACGTTACCTCACAATGACTGAATTCCACATGAAATGGACTTATTTTCAAAGGCTGGACAGTTTATGAAGAGTGGCTGATGACAAAGAAATGTCATAAAATGTTTGAAGTATGGGTGTACTTTGAATATCATAGGAGTCGTTAACCCGGATAACAACAAATACAGAAGGGAGATAACACAAAAGCGGTGTAGATGGCCTTAAAACAGCACAGTGCGGGAATCTGTGGAGTGCCAAGATCAAAGCTTAATAACTGGCTGACAAGATAAGCAAGGTGTGGCTGCTTTAGGGTGGCTTTAGTGGGGCAGGGCCAGTGACACCTGCCATAAAGCAGCCATCCACCCCCAACCTGACACTCCATTTACCCACAAATGATTGTGCCAGCCTCTTCCCACAATATTCAGTTAGATCAGTGGTTAAAACTGCCAGTTGGAAGTTTTCCAGTTCCAATAGATTAGTTTCCTTCACAGAAATGAGCTTGAGTAACTCCACTGACTTTTTTATTAAAACTAATTTTGGATGGGGAACGAGCTTTGTGGTGTCTGAACGCTGGCCTCAAAAGATGATGGACGTGTTTTCACCCTCATTTACCTCGGTTATTACATCAGAAATACTTCCCAGTGGAGAGAAGCTGAAACCTGATACTTTCTCATACACTTAACTTACACAAAATACCGATCTAAGCTTTTTTTTCTCCCTTATCTCAGCATCATTTGACAATGTTGCGGTCGGACCTGACCCCCCCCTGTGTTCAAAATGTTAGAACCTGTCCAGTGAAAGGGCGATAGGCTCGATACACTTCTCAGAATATGACATACTAAGGGTGTGGTTGTGCTTGGAGCCCGGTGCCTCTACAGCTCCACCAACATATCCTCATTTGCTGGATGGAAATGTGTGACATTGCATATCTGCTATATCAAATTTCCCACAGTTGCAAAACAGACACGTTTAACAGTTTGCGTTTTTTTCCCCCCCTTAGGGGTTTGCCGGATCAAACTTAAACGCCTCGCAACACTACTGCAGCTACTTTGCCAGATTCCACAAATGGATAACGATCTTATGAACTAGCTTTCACGCGGGGGGACTAAAGGTCCACAGCTCCAACTGTCAAGCTAATGTTAGCTAGCAGTTACCGTTAGTTAGCTTGTATGTTGTTGCTCTAAAATGGCAACAACTCGCCTCTACTGCCTGTCAAACCGACTCGTTTCACGCCGTTCGCGGGGTTATTTACTCCTAGTAAATGGCCCACCTCGATTTTGTCGACATTCCTGGCACAGCCGACGACCCTCATGCCCTGCTGGACCAGTGCCCGGGCCACAGCCGCTCCAATTCCCACCGAGGCTCCGGTCACCAGGGCCACTCTGCCTTTCCACCGCTCCATCTCCACAGGTACCGCCGCCGGGCGAATGGGCAGCTCCTTCGGTCGGAAAACTAAGCTCAAGCTCTCGCAAACTGAATATTTGGCTGTTACGCGCGAGATTTTAAAAGTGGGACGCGCCGGCTCCAGCCCCCAGCATCGGTGTGCGCAGCATCCAGGACGGCAGCGACCAGCGCGCGTAAAGACCGATCCATGCGCTCCCCCGGCCGGAATATGAAGCGTCCGGGAGCGAGGAAATGTTTGGCTCACATCACCTCCCACTTTCTTTTTGAGCCGTTGGACTCCGGGTGCTGCGTGCACTTACATCGCCATCTACTGGGATGCCTTTAAACTTACACCAAAAATGAGAAGCGTTCATTATTTTGGACTCTCAAACTTTAGGGATGATTTAAGGGCAGACGCACCGTCACGGCTAAGATGGCTCTGAAACCAGACTTCTGAAACTTGCATTTGAATGGTGCGAGAATTGATATCGTCACAGAATATTTCATGGTGAGGGAGAAAAGAATAAAAACAACAAATCTTTGCATATTAATAAATATTCTTTATTTAGTAAATTTTTCACATTGCGCTCATAACGTCACACCCAAACCTCATTACAAATGGATGTTTATTCTCTGTAAAATCTTTATATTTAGAATTTCTGTACACGTTTCATGGTACAACCTTTAGCACTACACTGAAGTGTCACAAATGAGAAAAATAGAAACAAAATCATAACAAAGAACAATCATAAAATAAGACTCCTAAAATTCATCCCTAACATCACAGCTTGCAAAGCCCGATTTTGATTCCACTGTGCTCTGACACCACCCCTCCCCTTCCCCACCCACCACACCGCCCAACCCCCCCCCCAGAAGACCATGAACAAATAGTTAGGCTTGGTCAAAGAGTACGACTACAGTTTTGAAAGAGGCCCAGAGAAGCCATGGAAAACCGTGATGGTGTACAAGTGCAAAGGAGATAAAGATGACGTTGTGAAAGTAAGAATCACTTTACTTTAATGGAGAAATGACTTAACAAGACACCAAACGAACCCCCCCAAACATATCTTTTCTAACAATGTTGCAGCAGTGGTCATGAGTGTTTTCATTTTTTCTTGGGGATAATGTCCTTCGTGCAGCTAATTGACAGTGGTTGTGGCAAACCACTTCCCACAGACCGGTTTACTCCGCTCGGTGGCGCGGCAGTAGTTGGTGAACTTCTCTTTCAGGAGCTGCCGGTACTGGTGGCGGTTGTTGTAGAAGGACCGGTTCCTTTCTAAAAATGCCTGGATTTCATCCTGTGTCAGACAACTCTCTTCATCAGAAGTCCCTTCGGAGTCATCCTGTTTAAAAAGCACAGCACAGAGGAGACCCTGTAACAATCTAACCAATGCCTGTTTAAAATAAAGACTGTTTAAAATTTGGTTTATGATCACAAGCCCCTATTCAGAATACATCATCAGTAATATGAAGGTAAAAAAAACAGAACATGAAAGCTATGAGTTACTACGTTTCATCTGCAAATCTGAAGGGTAAAACAGGTTTTAAGGAGGGAAAAAAGGAGATTTAAACACATTTCTTTCTTACCAGCAGTTCCACAAGACTCATATTTGCCTCGGGAGGCCTCACATGAAAGCTGAGGCTCCTCTGATGTACTGTCCATGGCAGCCGTAGTGCAATGCTGGCAAGTTTCTCGCCGCATAAGGAAGAAAGTAATTCTTTGGTTCGACAACTGTGCACTGATGTCAGATTGTGGCCTGGCGTGTTCCCATTGGACATACAACCATCGCCCTTTTGTCCCTGCAAAATATGCAAGCATTACTTTATATGCCTCGCTGGGAATTCTGAACGCAGCTTTCTGCTCCGTTGCCTCACCTGATCAATGCAAAAGCCCTTGCCCTTCCTCTTCTTTTTTTTACTCTTGCACTGAGTATTTTCCTCTGAACGGGGCCAGCAGTCCACACAGCTGTCTGTTCCGTCCTCCTCCTTGTCTTCAGAACAATGGTGGACATTTGGGCCGTCGCCTTCAGGTGCAAAACATAAACCACAGGCCATGAGACTTGAAAATGCCGTATGTGAACAGGAATCTGTCCATTAGAGGGTCAAAGCTGACCTGCTTCGTCGTGGTTGCAGATTCCCTCAGAGCAGGCCACGTCGGAGCCCTCTCGTGACCCCATCTCGCTGCCTTCAATACTTGAGGAGTAGCCGCAGTCACTGACGTTGCTGTTCGGGGACAAATCTGGAGAAATAGAGGGCAAAAATGTTTAGATTTCAGAAACAGAAAGGACTGAAACTATCCAGCAGCTTGTGGTGTGTGTGTGTGTGTGTGTGTGTGAGAGAGGGACTTGCCCTGCTTGGTGTTGTCTGGGCAGCTACAGGTGGCGCTCCTATTGGTGCCGACAGTCTCTTCACAGCTGGCCTCTTCCTCATCATGGCTACCACAGGCTTTAAAGCTGACCTCAACAGATTCAAAGGAACCCTGCAACACATAAAAGAAATTACCACACCGACATAAACACCACACCAGGAACTCTAATCTTAGTATCTTTTTCCTAAGTTTCCACATCAGGGACATGTTACCTCATCCAAGATTTTCTCCTTGTCCTCTGCCTCTGGTTCAGAGATATCGAAGCCACACTTGTTTTTGCGCCGGTTTTTCCTTTTTTGCCTCTTTTTCTCCAGTTTCAGCTCTTTGGCTCTCTCTTCCTCTGATAGTTCCTCCACGAACTGCTCGAGACGACTGATCCCCTGCATCTTCTCCACTGCCATCTAAGAGCATGGACATCATTACATAACGATACAACTCTTGTGATCGAACGCTCTGAGTATCATTCATTATGTTGACAAAGGCACCTCAAAACTTTTCCGCAGAGCATCGATACCCAGGTGGAATAAAATCTGCCAGGTCTGCTCCTCCGCCCGCAGCTTCTGCCAGATTCTGTGCAGCCGCTCGTAGAGGTGAATACCCAGACAAGTAAGGACCTCCTCTTGTGCAATGTCAATTGTCTTTGCGTGTCGCTCTCTTCGTCTTAAGAAACAAGCAAACAAAAAAAAGGGAAATCCACCATTAACCCAACTTCTGCATGCACAAAGCTAGTTTAATTAGACCAATTAATCAAAGAGCAGCAACTTTGACTCTGAAGACAAACTTACTCATAACCTCCAGCAAATTCAGGCTCTGCCCTTCCCAGTAAATGAGCGATGAAGTCTGTTTCACAGCATACATGAATGTGTCGTTCGTGGGGGCAACAGCATAGTCCCTCATACAGAGCAGCGCAGTAGCCCTTCTCCTTACTGGAATCCACCTCCCCAACCAAGATGTTATATGCCCTTAGAACTTTATTCTTACAGTCTGTGCAAAACCTGTTGACAAAAGGGGTTCAAAGTTAATCAAATTATATTTATATAAGTGCGAGAGGAAACCTTTGAGCAAACTGCAACAGATTACCTGTGTTTACGCAAGTAGGTCTCCAGTGTCTCAAGGAGCAAGGCACTGTCGATGAGGACCACCTCATCCCTGCACTCCTGAGACATCAGCTCCCACACATCCATCCAGCTTCCACTGCAAAACACAGTTATCACAATGATCCCCAGTAAAACCTGCAGTTTTCCTATTTCCATAACAGAAACAAGTGTGCACCATACCAAACAGCAACATATTTACACCCAACAGGCATAACACCACATAATCTAATCAACAACATAATTTAATCTAACAACATCTAATACCACTATTTGATTTGGTGGGGGGGGGGGGTAAAAACAACACAGTACTCACCCCAAAGGTTTTGGCTTATGTGTGTCCAAGGAGTGTAACTGGCAGCGTTTGTTCTTTTTACTTTTTGGAATGGCATCAATCATGTCATTCAACCTTGACCTGAAACAGATTTGACAAAAAAATGAATTCATTCTCCTTATGTCTTAAAAAAACAACAACAACAACACACATCAACTTTCTAATGCTTGTGAATGAATCTTAGGAAAATTAGGAAAATGCAGATCACTGCATAAAATTGATTTTTTCAGAGAACTGTAATAACTAAATACATTACATCACATTTGGCTGGATTATGGTTATCAGGTTCTAATTAAGTTATTTTCATCAAAACTGGTCATTTTGGCTTAAATTTATCAATGATTATTTTTTAAATCTTTTACAAGGAAAATGAAAAATCTCTTACCCATGGACATAAAAGAGGGTGTAAAGCTTCTTAGCGTCTACCAAGCATGCCTTGGTCACGGTTAGCATGCCTGTTGGTTTCACTGTGAGCGGCTCCAGGGCTGGGTTCCCTGATTCCACTAAATGTGAGAAAAGGCGCTCCACGCTTCTCCTGCAGCCCACGCATGGCACCAGCTGAGCTAATGCGCCATACACCTCTCTGGATGTCACCATCAAGGCAATACTCAAGTCCTGCTGCTTCAACTTTGAGTGATACTAAGGGCCAGACAGTTACATTTTTTTAAGAAATCACACTGAAAAAAATCGTTCAATTTGTAGATTGCTCTTTGTAAAATTGATTGACAAAATTTCACATAAGCTTTGAATGAAATGTGAATTTCTCACCTCCAAAAATTGTTTCCAATGAGAGGTGTTTACTTCATGGCTGTCAACGTCGTTCACAGTGTCAGAAAACTCCATCACCATCTGACCAATGATAAACACTGATTAGTGCCCATACTCTCACTTCATATGTACATGTGTTGATGAAGATGGACATTTTACTGTTAAAAAAAACAACATTTAACTTTGAGTATAGGTTCATTTGAATTGGGGTCATTTGATCCAAACCACATCATCTACATCTGTTGGCCTGGATTTGAGATGCTTACTTTCATAATTAAATCTGAATGAGATGGTCGCACACATTTTGGAAGAACCATTTTTGGTTAGATTAAATGCAACTTTATTTTAACACTAAAGACCAAATACTACATCTTAAATATTGTCATGTTGCTTTTAAACAGAAGGTTCCTTCTAGCAATCTGATTTTTGGGGGTATTTTCTCTTCATGGTAGGGTGCATGTGCATCACTGTGTGGGTGAACCAATAAAATTCACAACTCTGGCAGAAAAAAAACACAGGAAATTACAACTGAGTGTATATTTAACAGCAGCAACCATGACCCCATCACTTATAATTACACAGACTTACTGTAAGTGTGTCATCAATATACAGAGGAATCTGCCTTGCCAAAAACGGGTAATCTTCCTCTCCTTCCCTGCACACAGCTACCAGATGAGCCATGACTTCTTCCAGTTGCAGCTGTTGGGCTATTTGCCTGCAGGTTACACACAGGAGACCTACTGACCGAATGTAACATGAGGACAAACTACGCCATGCTAATGCTCATTTATAGCTGGTCACAAAGAGCCCACAGCAACATATTTTTTTACTAGTAGAGTAGCATGATTGTAGACTGTCATAGCATGTTGCAAAACATAAATAATGTCATTCAATTTACCATTTATCGAGACACATATCCAAATTGTAACTTACTAACAGTTATCTTGACCCAGATTTAGCCCTGATACAGTTAGCAAAACAACATAGGGAGCGACAGTTTTATTGGGAAACTTTGGATATTTGAATCCATAAAACGCTTTGGCAGGTATTTTAAACTAAAATGATCTGAATTATGAAAACAAAACTTGTCATGGTCCCGTCTAACGAAAAGCATGACAAACCAGTCCCCGGGTAGCTAAATAGTAAATGTTAGCATGGTAGCTAACCTAATTTACAAATGAGATTTGAACATTTAAGGAACAGATGGTAATTTACTTCAGACAATATCATCAGGTAATCCATTGGAGACTACTGCAACATTATAAACATATTGTCTACGGTCGACAATTCGGTGCGGGTTAACTTGGTTAACCTGCTAGTTAGCATCGCTGCTCTATGAGGCTAACACTAGCAAGCTAATCTGGGCTAATATAAAGTTAAACTGCGAGGCTACTTAGCAACAGTCACTTTCGTCAGTTTCTGGTACAGTACTGCCCATTACTTAGAAATTCAGCAAAGTAATTGAGCATTTGAAAATGATTAGTAATGCTTTTAACCTACCCTCGTCAGAAAGTTCCTCTAAAAAGATAAACAAGTGCGACAGACTCAGTGTGAAGCTACTACGGTGGCGGAATCCTCATTACTAATTTCACCTTTACCCTCTGTACGTAACACTTACGTAGTACTGCGCGCGGCCTCAAGGGGCGCACGTAATGCCGAAACTGGGCTGGGCCCAGATGAAACTGTCCGGGGACAAATTAAGCCGTTATTCATTTTCTTATTAATGACAGACCGTTTCACACATGTTTTTTTTTTTAACTTTTATCATGTCTTTTCATCCTTATAGGCAGGACTTCATGTTGGCCAAGTTAAATAATTTAATTAAGTATTTAATATTCTGAAAGAAAATGCCAGATGTTTGACAAAAAGTGATGAAACTACATTACATAACAAACTTTAAAAGTGGTCCTCCTTTCAATATCAATGAGATAGCCCTCAACAATGTGCAGATTTCTCAAAATTTCTGTAATATCTAAAAAGTACTGAAAACGTGCATGCTAATTCATATTATTTGACACAATGCATTACCTTTTTATTTGTGGATTTTAGCATTGTGCAGTAATAGAAAATGGCTGTCGATATAACCAATATATTACGTAGACACTGATAATGATACTGATTATCATTGAATGAATTACAGAGACAGATCAATTGATGTACATACTTGTAATTACACGATTGTATGCATTTACAGAGAAGTACATTTTTTAAAAGTAAAAATACACTTCAAAACAAGCCTGCTATGTCAACAGGTAAAACAATATATTACATGTCATGCACTCACCCATCCAGAGTGGGTTTTAAATAGAAAACATGCGTTTTTTTGTATCAACAAGCACAGTTATTGGAGGATATCTGGGCATACAGATGGCATTTTCTTATATTACGGCCTCCAAATCATTTACATAATTGTATTTTTTACCCTTTTATTTTTACCAGAACTTTACTGTAATTCCACACATATGAAAAACATATATTACAAAGCAATTGATGAACATGTACAAAAGCAAAACGCACACAGAAAATGAACTACTACACGTAAGTGTGTCCACAACAGAGTTGGTCAATCCTGTCATGACATTTGCAAGCAAGAAAAAAAGCAACTGGTTTCTGCTGACAGCTTGAACAAGGCAGAAAGATTCCATTTGATTTTGCTTTTTGTCATTACCTTTGTCAGAGTCTGAATCTTTTTTAAACATATTCAATGATGAAGGTACAAGGTGACACCCTGATATTCTTTTAGACAGCAGTAAGACCACATCAGCTATAGCAAGGCAGGACATAAAAAACAAGGACTGAGCAACACTCCAGAGGAAAAAAGGTAAATTAGCTGATCGGCGAGACACTGGCTCGACAAGGGTCTGACATAGGCACAAAGCAGCGTATACGACAGAACTTCCTAAGAGTAGATTAGAAATCATTTTGAGCCATTCTTTAACTTGAGATCTTGGTTGCATCACATACAGTCCAATCTGAACTCCAGCTAGGTATATGGCTACATATCCCACTATGGAGAAGATGCCCTCTTTGTTAGCATGCAGAAAGTCCTTATCTCTGTCATTGTTGTAGATAATGAAAGCCTTCAGTTCGGATGTCTCCAGGATAAATTGATACAATCCACTCATCAAAAGGGCGAAGATCCACAAAAGTCTGGCTGGTAAAACAGCCAGGAGCATTGAAGCCATCACCCTGACGATGGCCAGGGTGAAAAAGAAGTTCCAGTGGACGCCGTATTCTGTCACATGCTCATGATAGCCGGTCAGTTTGAGGCTCACTAGCCTTGCTGTGCCGAGAGCAAAGAGGGGCCAGACAGACAGGATTTGCTTTGTGATATAACTCATCTTGGATCCTGAGATGTTCTTCCTCCGGGCCTCTGGACACACAAGAGCGTTTGCAAAGACATAAGCGCCAACTCCAAAGTCCATAACTCCTGTCCCATAAGTCTCTGCTTTAGCATATCGTCTTGGAAAAACACTAAAGTCTACAGCAAGAATGCTGATGGCTGTTTTAACATTTACAAACACCCTAAAGAGAGTCACAAAGGGGACCTGCTTGAACTTGATGTGACTGTGAAGGAAGTTGCTGACAGTCTTATCTGAATGAGAAGAAGAAGAATTACTGCTGGTACGATAAACATAGCAAAACGCACAAGCTGAAAGCACACTTATACTGATGATAACCTGGAGAAGAATGCTACTCAGGATAGTACAGGACAAGACTAGAGGAAGAATAAGCAAAAAAAAGTCAAGGAAGAGTTGAGAAATCAGTGGAAATGGCAGCGGAAGAGTTCCTTTGGCCTGATGGTACATAATCATGATGAGTCCTCTGCTGATGAGGCATAGTGGAGTGAGAAACGATCCCAGTGCCACCTCTCCCAAACTGGTCCCATTAAGATTACTGACAAACGCCTCCTTCAGATCCCTTTGAGCCATGACCTGCAAACAACACATGAAGAAATGCGATAGCACATAGGATTACATGAGTTCTAATACGCATTACAAACACTGAAACATTTGTTTAAAAATGTGCTTAAACTTTGTATGGACCTGTAAAACCTTTCACCTCTGATCTACCCAAATCCTGTAGAGCTGGTTTCCACTTAAAGCAGTCTCTATTGACTAAGACCGGGCGAACTGCACATAAGTATGGTAAAAATGACTATATATCAGAAGATCAAAAGATTTGTATTTTTTACGTTTTTTCCTTTTTAAGGCAGCCCAATACAAACACTTCGTTTACAAGCGTTTCCAACGTATTTAAGTGTTAATTTAAAATCTACTTACCACGACCTTTTAAGCTGGCCCTGAAAATGTTCGTTAACAGCAATACCTGCTTGAGAGCTTTGGTATTTTTCTCAAAGTCCCTAGACTAACTCATTCATGATTACTGCGACGTGAAAGCACCTCCATTTCCGTATTGAGATACGTCAGGCGTGATGCATTCATGAAACAATCGGAATTCTGACACCTTCAAACTTTATGAGAACACATTTTTTATGACGTATTGCTCCTATAAAAATATTATCATGCTATATAATTAGCTTGATTTTTAACTTCCCATTTATTTAAAACTTAAAATTCCGATCAAAACTTTTATAAAGGGTGCACGAGAAATTGCTCGTATCTTGTGACACAAAATGGGAAAATGGAAAATCTGGTAAACGTATTGTTGTGATTTCAGCCAAATCACAAGTTTAATTTGCTATTTGCTATCTAAAATTCTGGGTATATGGATAAACTGGGCCGTATAAGTCACAGGTGTAAATTGCGTGAAGTTACAGCTAGTCCATGAAGTCCATGAAGCGTCAGAAAGAGGGCGGGAATAATGCGTGGTTTGGGAATCTGGGAGGCGGTTACAAAGTCAGCAGGCTTTGGGAGAAGTCGGCTGTGTGGGAACCGCCGACTAGAAGGAGGAATTGAGTTAAGTGTTTTCTAAATGGAATAACAACATTCATCATAAAATCTACGTACACTTTCTGTGAAATAGTTTTGTAGACATTTAAGACGCTTTAAAGGGAGACAATTAAATCAATGAATTCCGTGGACGACCGACGTGACCGTACAGCAGGATCCAGAAATGGAGGAGCAACGGTAAGTTTTGACATGAGGAACCGTTAACAATTTCAGCCAGTTGTTCAGAGATTTCCCTGTTTGTTTATTTTTTAACTTAAACGTTATTTTTAATGTTAACTTGGTTAAAAAAGTTCATCTATAAATCTTTAACTGTTTCTTACCATGCTTGGTTTATATATGTGATATGTTTATAGTTATTTGTGAAGTCCGACGTACCTGGGACCGAGTAGCACTGTTATTGCGCCTGATTAAATAGTCCCAACAGTTTGGGAGTTAATTGGCAAAACTTTAGAGAAGATGGCCACTCGGTTCCTGTTGTTTTATTTTCGACATACAATAATGTGTACTGTACAAACAGAAAATAGAAGTTTTCCTAACCTCAATATCGGATAAATATCGGTCCTTGTAATCCTTACAACTTTTTGGGCCCATTGGGAACAAAAAATAAAAAAGTCCCTTTGATAAAGTCATAAATACTATAACATAACAAACATACTGCTAAACCTTAAGTTCAAAATGTGCCTAACATTGTGTTATATACCATGGGTATCAAAAGAGTTAAATGGGGTTTATTTACATGGTTTAAAAATGGCCATACAGAATTATGGGATGTAGGCTACCCACTATTGGATTAAATGTGTCTGTACACGGACAGCTGATTGTCTGCAGACAGGCAGCAGGTCCAGGTCATTTGGCAGGATCAAGCGGACTTGCATTTGTCCGGCTGATCTGATTGTGACCGAACTGACAAATGTGTTATGCTTGACATTGTAAATGGCTCAGTGTTGAGCAATTGGCGGAGTGTGTGTTGAAAGTCTATAAAAATGAAATATTATCTTTGTCATTATCATGAGAATGGTGACTCAGTTCAGGTAAGTTTGACCGTATTTTGACCTGGTAAATGGAGTTGATGAAATAACACAATCACACATGGGGCCAGTCTTGGTTCCTGCCCCTCTTCTATTCTGTTATAGTTTTTTAACAGAACAGAATTATTTTTTTTGTAGAGGTCTGTTTTTTTCTTTTGGGGATCAAGTATTAGTGGTCATCTGGGGGACATTTGGATTACTGGACGACCTGTACTTCTCGATCCCTAAAAGAAACGGAGCGGCTTACCTCTGAAAATCACAGGGAAGAGCCATGGGGAGGATCAGGATTGGCAAAAGAAGACGAAAGTCTCCTTTTGTCTTCCGTCTGTTTAAAATTTTATTTTATTTATTTCCACAGAAATAAAAAGCTAGTATTTATAACTGTTGAAAGATTACTCTGCTATTGATGTTCATTTATATTGTAAAAATGAATATAGTTTGCACAAAAAAAATCATTTTTTGTGGCTTTAGACACATATCTTTCTTGAATTTTGACTCTTATTTTGCTTCACCTACACAGGTGAAACTATTCATCCAGAAAGTCCATTCTCCTCAGCAGTCCCTTAATGACTCACTGGAGGAGGAAGTTCAGGCTTTTCTCATTGATGAAGACCAACTTCACACTTATGATGACCTCACCAAAGTCAACCCGGTGACCCCAACAACAGGTATTAAGCAGGGCTGCATCATGACCAGAGAATGATTGCCTGAATTGCTGTACTGCATAAAAAGCTAAACAAAAGGTAGTTTACTTCCTAGTAGACATGTGAGGTTTACGCTTGCTTACCTAGTTTGAGATCAAAATACAGGTATGCCAGCACTTTGTGGGCAGAATTTGCCCACAGGTCAAGATTCAGCCTGATTAAAGAACATGGCAAATGTAGTTTAGTAACAGCAGAGGTCAGGGTTACAACATGGAAAGGTCTTGGGATTAGATGCTGTTTTGTGTAGAGCAATGAGAACCATTTATGAGCTTTATCATTCAGGTTATTTATGTAATGAAGGATTTTCTTAAGTACAACACAGGTGATATTGTCAGTCTTTCAGTGGAGCAGAGCGTTACTGCTGTCGTAGATGGCTGGTAACATAAGAAACAGAACCGCCGATCCATTTTTCTGTTTGGGAACTTTATGTTACAGATGTGTCTTGTTTTAAAGGTTATTAGTTATTTTAAAGGTTATTACTCTTGCATAATTGTTAAATCTCTGCTCTTCACTTTTTCTAGCCAGAGGTGGTTACCGTACATAGTTTGGTAACCACCAAACCAATGTTTCCTGTTTTTGAATGTGCCTGATTATTAATATAATGTTTATGTTTCCCTGGTAGTGCTGAAATGCCTGCAGGCCAGGTACAGCGCAAAAGTCTTTTACACCCATGCTGGTTGCACCTTGGTAGCTCTGAACCCTTTCCAGCCCATCCCACACCTTTACTCTCTTGATGTGATGAAGGAGTATCACTGTGCTGCTCAGCCCCAGGTATGTATCACACTGAATTCTCTTGGTACGGAGTAGTGAAGCAAACAGGGGTGTTGAGGGGATGGGAAACAGTATTCCCAGGTCCACAGTGTTGCTTCTCATAAAGTCAGTAATTACGATGCCTGTACCTAATAAGTCTGGTTACATTTTGCCAACAGGAGTTCAAACCACATATCTTTATTGTGGCTGAAGAGGCATACAGAAATATTCAGGGTCAGCTGGAGCCAGTCAACCAGTCTTTGGTGGTCAGCGGTGAAAGTGGAGCCGGAAAGGTAAACCAGCAGATGCTGACCTGCCACAAAGGACACTCATCCCACATTTCTACTTTGTGTATGGATTCAGCAGACAGAAAAAAAACTTGCTTTATTTTTATGTTTTATGCTCTAAAAATGATTAGAGCTTTTGGTTTGCTTGAGTTTGTTGGTGATTTTTGTCCTCACAGACATGGACATCTCGCTGCCTGATGAAGTATTATGCCACTGTGGCTTCCTCCTCCTCAGTGTTGACGAGTCAGGACACAGTGGACAGGATAGAGCGGAGAGTACTGGACTCCAATCCTATCATGGAGGCCTTTGGTAGGACAGAACATTTTCTGAGGATGAAAGTGTGAACACTCGCTCATCAGCTGTTGTCCCATTTTGCAGGAAATTCTTGCACGCTCCGCAACAACAACAGCAGCCGATTTGGGAAGTATATCCAGCTACAGCTAGACAGGTACCTCTCCTACATATCTGAGATGAACTTAGGTGTTTAGGTCCTTTTGTTTAACGTAACATCCACTTTTTATACGGAGGTGTCAGCTGTTAGTCGGGGCTTCGGTGCAAACGTATCTCCTTGAGAAGACGAGGGTGGCCTGTCAGCCAGCCAATGAAAGGAACTTCCACATCTTCTACCAGGTGAGTCAGCAGCCCTGTGCAGAATCTCATCCCCTCACAGGGTCTTCATATGTGCAGACCTGAGGGATGAATGTGTTTCAGATGATGAAAGGGGCCACGGATGAGCAGAGAAAAGAGTGGAAGATGTCACATGACCAAAGTTTTGTTTGGCTGCCGAATTCTGAGAAGCAAGTCGAAGGTTGGTATTTAATTTTTTATGTGCATAAAGACGCTGTTTTTCACAGTCAAGAACATTTTTATGCACTGTCGTCTTTTCACTACACAGCATCCTTTTAAAAAATGTTTTCTTTTTGTGTTTTTTTTAACAGAAGATTGTTTTAATGAGACGGTTGAGGCAATGGTTCATCTGGGAATCAATGAAGAAAAACAAAGGGAAATATTTAGGGTAATGAAAACCTTTTTTCTTCTTGGTTGATCATTGAAAAGCAACATATCAATGTTTGATAATGTAATAGAAATATTTTTACTGGAGCAGTTGTTACGATTACCTTGAATAATCACCCTGGATCCTTCTTACAATTTATTTTAAACGCATTGATATAGTCACACTGTCATACTTTTTTTTTTTTTTCATTACAGATTTTAGCTGGGATTCTTCAGCTGGGGAATGTGAGTTTCTCTTCCTCATCAAATGAATCGCAGCCGTGTGACCTCAATGAGCAGTCGGAAGGTATTTGATGTGATGAGTATTATTTTTAATAATCCTTTTACACAGAGAAGTTCTTGGAAAATTAAGTGGTACATCTAGAACAATGCAATACAACAGATTCTCTTTGATCCTCTCATTTCACTTGTGCTTCAGTGAATGAATGACATCCTCTGTCTGTGTTTCAGACTTTTCGCAGAGAGCTGCAGAGCTTCTTTGTGTCTCTGTTGAGGAGCTCCGGACGTGTTTAAGGGTGAGGACTCTGAAGGCGGGGAACCAGAGCGTGCTCAAGCCCTGCTCCCAGGCAGAGTGCAGTGTGAGGAGGGACTGTCTGGCCAAGGTCATTTACGCCCAGTAAGAATGACAAGTGGTTTCGTTTTGGTTTGTCAGGCGCTGATGTTTTGTCATGATGTGTGGGGATGCAGGAGCCTGTTTTTGTGGGTCAAAGCTGATGTAAACCATCATGCTTTTTTGTTTATATTAAACAAAGAAGTGCATTTGACATGTCTGTTTATCAGTATTAACTACACAGTAAGTACTTTGTGTTGCTATTATATTCCTATGAAATCCCCTCTGTTACATTAATCACGCTCCTTTTTTCACCAGATTATTTGAGTGGGTGGTTACGTTCATCAACAACAGCATATGTGCAGAAAAATCTACATGGTGCAACTTTATAGGTGAATGTTTAACTTTTCTCAGGCAGCTGAAGACAAACAAAGTTTTTTGCTTACTGTAGTCTCAACCTCTGTCCTCTGAAACCTGCAGGCGTGCTGGATGTTTACGGCTTTGAGTGTTTCAACATCAACAACCTGGAGCAGCTTTGCATCAACTACGCCAACGAGAAACTCCAGCAGCACTTTGTGGCACATTATCTGAGAGCTCAGCAGGTAGCGTCTTCATGCTGGACCTCCACAGTTTCATGGCGATGATCAGCCCTCAGACATTCAGGAGGGGGGATTAAGTTCATCAAACCTGGCAATTATCAACAGCTTTTCTCAACTCAACTCGTGTGTGTGATGTGAGAAATAAATATATTTAGATATTAAAGTTAAGTGTGGCTTCTCTCAGGAGGAGTATGTTTCAGAGGGGTTGGAGTGGTCCTTTGTCAAATACCAAGACAACCAGAGCTGCCTGGACCTCATAGAGGGAGCCCCTGTCAGCATCTTTTCTCTTCTTAATGAGGTACGGTGGGCATTTGCTTTTGATTTATTTACTTTTAAGTCAGCAGAGCGACAGCATTCTGCATCTCACAGTAGTTTCCTAGTTTGTGGGCACATACACAAGGCAATAGAATGAAAGCAAATGATAGTTCATCTGCAACCACACTGGAGTGAGACTCATGTACATCGTGTTTAACGTCATATCAGTTTTTAATTTATAACCTCCTGAGAAGTAGCTGTGATGACGCAAGATACACAGCATGTCTTTTTATTTGATCTGAAATCTACAAGGATTTAATTTATTAATTGGTATAAATACTTTTCTCTGGAAGGAGTTCAAGACTCTTTGGTTAATATTATAGCGAGTCAATGTTGTGTCTTCCTTTCTTGTTCTAAAGGAGAGTCGCCTCAATCGAGTCTCGGATGCCAAAATGTTGAGGGTTCGTTTAGAGAAGGAGCTCGGTGATAATAAGAACATCAGCTGGGACAAGTTCAGCAAGGTGCCACATTTCACTGTGACCCACTATGCTGGCAAGGTTAAGTACCAGATAGAGGGCATGGTGGAGAAAAACAAGGTAAGAAACCTTTAAGGGCAAGGTAAAAAAAAAAGGACCCATCTGTCTATGTGCTTGGCCTCAGCTGCTTTTGGTGTTTTAGGACCCAGTTCCACCAGAGCTCATCAGCCTGCTTCAGACGTCCGACTGCCCCCTGCTACAGCAGATCTTTACTGACTTGGAAACTGGGAACCCAACCACCAAGGCTCTGAGTAAAGTCACTGTGGTGTCCAAGTTTAAGGTAGGGGCAAACTCAAGCCTTCATCAGTTATCCCAGCTCCGGTTGCAGTACAGATGACGTAAACATCTGATTGTAGAACTCACTGGAGAGCCTGATGAGGATCCTCCACAACACAACTCCTCACTACACCCGCTGCATCAAACCTAACCCCGAATCAAAGCCGCTGACCTTTAAAAAGGAAGAGGTGGGTGCTATGATATTCAGCGTGCATCCTTTTCATCATCAGAGAATGAAAAAGCTCACTTTGTTTTTCATCCTCTGTCAGGTTATAGCGCAGTTGGAGGCTTGTGGGATCGTGGAGACCATTCACATCAGTGCTGCTGGCTTTCCAATAAGGTGCTCTTGTTTTATTCATTAAATGTCACATTCAGTTTGGTTTTATCTCTTTTTTTATTTTATTTTTTCAAACTTATTTTCTTTTATCACCAGGGTTCCTCTCGGAAGCTTCTTGCAGCGTTATGGACTGATAACAAAATACAGATCAAGGCGTCACAGTGTGGGTCAGTGCTGTGCGTCTTACCCCTGAATCACTTTGTTTAATTTTTGCATGTAAATTGTTGGCAAATAGTGATTTTATTTCATCTCTTTAGGTCTGCTGGTATATTCCTCTTTCCCCTCTTTAACCCTCTTAGTGAATGTGATCCTCAGTTCTGTGCTCTCCTTGGGACTTTTTATTAGTTTCAAAACAAGATTTTTTAACATATTTTGCAACAGCTTAAGAACTTTCCAGGTAAATGCATGTCTGACGGAACCAGCTTTGCATGCGTTTCTACTCACTCTTTGCTATTAGTTCATTATTTTCACTTCAGTTCAACTCTGTGGCTTACTCACTGGCAGCTTAGTTTATCAGTATGCCTCTATCGTAAACAAGTATTCCCTTTGTCTGATCATGAACATTTTACACATTCACATTTTAGTGAAAATTATTTTTGCAAAAAGAAAAACAAACATTTAGTGCTGTTGGAAAAGCACATATAGTTCTAGTTGTTATTTTTAATGAGGCCGATGACTGTATTGTTTTCAGGAAGGTTAAATGTCAAATAATAATTTAGTCGCTGATCATTTTCTGCACATTCCTATTGACAAATGTACTTTCATGATAACACATTAACAGTTTTGTCTAAAAACTTAGCATGCCTTTACTAACATTAAAGCAATGAGCTAAACTTTGAGGTAGTTGTGTTAAACTTTAGAGCTGCTTCATCTTCTTATTTGTAACATTTCTCTTCTACTCTGAATGATGATTTAAACTGCAGGATGCTTTGAATTAACATAGTGATGATCTCAGCAGTTTTTTTTAAAACTCCTCTCACATTTTTTATCTGGCTGTCAAAAATTTGCCAATAATTCTGAATCTTCTAACATTTTAGTGCTGTAATCTCATTCTTTCTTTATTCTGTCTTAGATCTGAAAGCTGACAGCAACAATGAGCTCCATCGGGAGGTGGAGAAGGTTCTCAGTGTGATGTTGCACCTGTCCTGTGATGGACGCACATCGATGGTTCATCATGGAAAGACAAAAGTGTTTCTTACTCAGGCGATGGTCTGTATATAAGGAAACATGAAAAATCTGCCTGCAAATTCATGAAATAATCAAGTCTAATTTCTGTTGGATCGTGTTCAGCCTTGGGTGGATGTCGTAAATCAGCTAACTGGCCTGACTTGTCTCACAGCTGGATATACTGGAGGGTCAGAGGAGGAAGGTCCGGTCTCAGAGTGCCTTCATCATCCAGTGCTGCTGGATGCGGTATCAGCGACGCAGACGCCTCACCCGCCGGAAATCTGCTACTTTGATCCAAGCAGGTAAACTGCTAATGCCCTCACCAGGCCCCACTGAGTAGGATCAGCAGAGCTGGTCTCTGTGACCTGCCAACAGGAGCCAGCTGGCAGTGTGTGTACACAGAGCCTGCCTGTCACAAATAAGGCGCAGTCTCATTAACTCCTGGTGACACGCGTTCTTTTGATGCCTCGTGTGAATGGGATTGTATGAGCTGTTCTTCCTACAGCTCAAAGCTGGTGCTTGATAAGCCAGCAGAACACGTGAACGTCTCGGTTGGATGTTTAATGTGATTTCCTGCCTGCAGCGGTGCGCTCCTGGCTGGTCAGGAAGCAGGTCCAGAGGTGGAACAGAGCAGCCGCGGTCATCCAGACCACCTGGAAGAAATGGAGGGTGAGATTTAGGAAGGACATTAAACACTTTAGCCTCTTGTTCGTTCTTTGTTCAAAGTGGAAAGTGACACACCAGGGACCGTGTTTCTATTTGGCAGACACTGCTGAAGTCCCTGGCAGATGCAGAACTTGATGATGCGGAGGACCTGGTGGAGGAGGACGTCCCCAAACTGAACCCCGTTGTTAGGGAACGGGGATCAGTGCAGCTCTCCAGCATCCCAGAACCGGTCCCCGTGCGGGGCTGGCCCATGGGCCTGGCCCTGGCATCCGCCCCATCCATCACAGTCTCTCTGACAGCCACGGGCTTCCAGAAGATAGTGTCTGTGATGACCTCCCTCAACCTGCCATCCCGGAAAGGCGAGTACAAGGTGAACACCAACCAGTACAAGCAGGGGCTCGCCTCCATAAGGGCCAAACCCAAGGTGAGGACAAACCCACCCACGCTCAGTGTGTTTTCAGATCAACTGTGGGATATTTCATCTGTTGACTTCTGCCTCCTGCATAGGGTTCTGTTAAGCTGCACTATCAGCGATCTCCACTTCTGTATGCTGACATGCAGCCAGACCTGAAGACTGAGGTGACCGGCTTCAATGAGATCCTCTTGGAGAAAACTTTTTGAAAACTCCATGTAAAAACAGAAAGTTAATAGAAAGATGCTGATTTTATGTCAAACCACTTTAACCCTGCTGCATTCAGGGACACAGACACAAGTCCAAAAAACCCCACATGATTATTTTTTACCAAGTGGTCGGGCATTATGATGCAGTGTTAACAAATCAAAAGCTCCTGTGCATTTGGAGCTATTTTAAGAATTTGTGCCACATTCCATATGTTGATGTAAATGCAGTACATGACAAGCAGTCACTTAAAGAAACTTATTTTTGTGTCATGTGGCACAACCTTTGCACATTAAGAAGCCAAAAGGCAGCGGGTTCTTCTCTGACTGCTCCCTCTGAATCACAACAGCGTGGATCAGTGCATCAGGCCTCGTGGAAAGTGCCTTTCCTAAAATCTACAGGCAGTGGGCTCCAGTATTTATTCAGGTTATTATTTATCTTTTTTTACGTTTTGGAAGGTATATTCAGATTACAGAGATGATCATCTACGATTTACTTATTCTGTGTTTGATGAATGAAAAAAATGAACAAAGAATTGCACTTGTAAAGAGCATTTTGCACATAAAAACAACGCACATTTCCTTACAAACAGAATCATGACATGAACTGGGAGACTACACTGAATATAAACAGGGAAATGATCAAGAAGGGTCTGCCATGTTGTGTACCCAAAAAATATGTGACCTGTCACATAATGTGTGGGTCCTCATTCAATGCAAATTCCAACGTAAACCAAAGTCTTTTAACTGCAGCGTTGGTGATGAGCAACAGACTTCTCTTTACTCAGATTCAGTTTTAGCATAAAATATAAGTATATTCGATTTTTTTCGGAGCTTTGTGGATGCATCCGGGTGATTGTAACGGTTCAGTTGTAGCCTGTGCACTCTTAACCAGGTGTGTTCAGTAGGAACATGTGTAAATAACTTAGATCAGTCACATCTAAACCAGCTGAATGGTGGTTGACACCAAAGCTCTGGGCCTGGGGCGTCTTTGGGCTTGAGTTTTCATCATTTAGTTGCAGCTTTTGTGGTGTGACAGGATCTGCTGCTCCAGTTTGCTATTTATCAACCTGTAAGTGGTGTTAATGTTGTAGCTGATCGGTGTAGACACACCTTATGTGCTGTTTTGTGTACCCCAATTACTTTAATATTGAAAAAAATAAACACACACTTTACCTAGATCTTTATTTGAAAATTATGTACATTATGTGGAATAAAAAAAGAAAATATGCAAGTATGGATTTACAAATCATCCCTGGATGTTGAAGCTTCCGCGTCACTTTGGACAATTTTCAAACACTGATCTGAAAATTCAACGAAAAGAGGCTCCTGCATGGCGGCCCTCATGGCGTCGGCCTTGTTCTCCGCACTGTCGACAGAGGCCAGCAGCTGTCTCAGGTGGGGGTTACACAGAAGCTCTCGAAGCTCTTTTGACTCACCTGAAGGAGAAAAAAAATAACCTGTAGTGTCTGGATATTTTCCTGGTTCTGGACTTTTTCATTTTTATCTGCCAACGTGCGTGAAATAAGAGCAGAAAATACCCAACAGCTGCAGCCTCTGCGGAGGCACTTTGTCGATGATGCCGTCTTCATGCAGAAGGTCGTCCACACTCCATGGCTCAGCGGACACTGCGAGCATCAGGGTTCAATACACGTTAAAAACCACATGGTATCCAGTCTACCAAAGGGATCGTTTTCATAACAACTTCAATACGATCAGTGAATCAAAAGAAAGGAGCACAAAAAATTTAACAAAGTCACACCGTGATTTGGTTGGTTCAAAGGCTAAAAAAGTCTCCTTATACTCAAAATTTCTCAAACTTTGAATCCCCCCACAAATGTTTTTCTTCTTAATGCCATAAATCCACCTGTTGAGGCAATTTTTTTTCACTGATTCTGTTTAGTTCGATTTGCTCATTGATAATACTGCAAACCACACTTGTCATGGAAAACCACCTAAACTGAACTGTGACGAGCCGAGTGGAGCAGAGCAGGTATAATGGAAAAGTCCCATTTGCACTTTTGAAAGTAACATTTCTTGTTTGTGGTTGCCATGTTTCAAAAAGAAGCTCTGGCCTGGAAAAAACCAGGAAAGTACCAAATATAAGCAGAAGGATTTCTTCAAATATGAAAACATCCTGCGAGAGCTTACACTACGAAGGGAACCCATCACTTGTTTGATGGTGACCCATATAAACATTAATAAGCTGATCTCAAGTTAACTTTTCAGACACACTTGATAGTAAAACCACAAATATTTTGAAGTAACAATACCTGAGCTGCTGCCATCTGAGCACTCGTGATTTCGAGTTGAATGATTTTTAACAGGAGTGCAGGAATCTATGGACAGGGGAAAAAAAACAGATGACAAATCTGTTTCATCACGACAACGAAAAAGGTCAGAGGTCAACACTATAGAGATCAATAAGGTACTCTAACACTAACCTTTATGCTTCTTGTAACAACCAAGTGAACAACTGCGAGAACCACAAAACAAATTGATCAGACACAAATCTCATTAGAACACATTTTCGATCATTGACTAAAACACAACTGGTTGATTCTTCATTCCAAACAATTTAGAGAATAATAAACAATATCTCCTGCAGTAAAAATCAAAATGATGGTTTGACCCTAACGGGACGCCGTCCCATGTGGTGGGGACAAATTCTGCTGATGTGCTCATGGCTTCTCAATATAGGAATATAATTTGAGAGCAATGTATTTAGTTTACTTCATTTAAATATTATACTCATCTTTATCATTTTAATTATAAACGTTTCAGTGTTTTCTATTACTACTTTCTATTTTCTATTACTAAATCGTAATTTTGAATGCCGTATCTTAGTTATCTACCATTCTTTAGGAGCACTTACTGAAAGAATCTTAAATATAAAGTAATATTATAAAATACAGCTAATTTTCTCCAGTTTCCAAAATGCCTTAATCTCAATCATAAACAAAACAAAAAAACATCGTAAACAAAACAGAAGCTAACTTGCTGTTAGCTCGTTAGCAAACTTCACTTACTATCGTATTTTACAGGCTGGACATCTGTATTTTGGCGTCTGCTCCCTGCACACGTTGCATATCTGCATTTTTCAGGCAATTCAGGTTTGAACATAGGCGAAATAGTGGGTTCGACGGTCTGGGTGATGTGCCAACTGCCAAACTTGAAATGACTTCCGCTTTCCTACGATGTCCTTCAGAATAAAAGCACTAGTTTCCGGTTAAGACCCACCGAAATAATACCCAAACATCAGGAAAGCATTTCCTACTGTTGAACTTTGGCAACTTTTTAATGTTGCACCTTTCAATCTAAATGCACATTTCTCTTCTTTTCCTTCCTGTTGTGCCTTTAAACATGTTGTTTTAAGAACTAATTCCACTTTTATGTGAAGAGGGGAGTTTGTCCCTGGGCAGGTACCACACAAATAGGGAGAATGTTTCGAAACTGAAGAAATAGTGGGAAAGATTGTAAGGCCAGACGGTGTTTTCATGATTAAACCCATGATTTAGTTTTTTTTTTTTTTTAATTCATGGATTTATAGGACAATGAAATAGTTTTTAGGGAATTAAAATGAGCTGAGTGCAAACTTGTGCTGCACATAACTCTAAAAATTGCACAAAGTGTTTATTTAAAAAAGTTACATATTTGAAAAGAGTTCTTTGGAAGCATCCGTGGAAATCATAAGTATTGAATAGCTGTTTAATAGTGTATTATTATATTAAAAATATTAAATTAATCTTAAGGTAATAACTATAATTTCATGTGCTAATAAAACAGAAACATTGGTCTTGTTTAAAAACAACAATGTTTTATTGGTACAATAGATAAAAATAAATTTTACACGTGGACATATTCATACAGTTTTACACAAACAACCACCAATAAACACACCCTTGCCCTACATAGCTTAACACAAACTATTCTTGCACAGCTGTAACTGGAGAAGGGTGGGTCTGGTTACAGTGTAGGAATGGAGGGCGGCCTCGTGACCGATAAACAGGCACGTTCCTGTGTCACAACGCTCCACTTGCTGAATCAGGAAAAACACAAACACTTGGCCATGATCAACATCTGAATTCCAACACCACGAGTCCGGATCTGGGCGGAGATGAGAGTGAAATCACCATTAAAAATCAACATAGTGCTTTAAAGAGCTTCAATGTGCATTTCTTTTTACTATGAATTGTATTTAGAAAGGCAAATGAATGCTTAAAGTGCAAAAAAAGTTATATATATATTTTTGTGTGTGTGTGTAAACCATTATCCTGCCACAGTTGAGACATTTCCCCCTTCAAAATGCTTTATTTTCCATTATTAGAATTTGCTGGACGAATTATCCTGAATACATTTTCATCAATCTAGACAGGAGTCCCCATTTCATCGAGTACAAATTAAATGGAAAAAACGAAAAGGGAAAAGTGCCTCGTCCATATATGGCTGCAGATTTGTGGCTTGTGAAAAACAACAACAACACGAATCCCTCGTGCACCATTTTCTGGCTGCAGCCTTCATCAAACGGCGGTTTGTGATCAGACAGCTGTACCAGTCTGCAGGTGCTGTTACACCTACCCGTCAGCACGATTAAAAGCCATCACGACGAGGAGCTCTTGGTTCGCCTGCGTTTCTCTTGGCTGTTGTGAAATTTCTCTGCTATCTTCCTCTCGTGTCCAGAGGGGCAATGGCGGTTGGTGTTCAGCTCCATCTCCCTCTTGGTCCTCCCTTTTCCGGCAGCGTGGCCCGAGTACTCGTTCAGGTTGTAATAGTCATATTGGTCGTAGTGGGCTTCCTCGAAAGAAGCAAATCTTTCCAAATCTGTAGCCATTTGGGGACAGGCTAAAGCAGCTCTTGGTGAACGGGTCTCAGGAGCTAGTAAACAGCTGATGTCACCCCGTGTTTATATACACGAGGTCACGTGACCACGCCTGCTGGCCGCTTTGCTGAGGAAGGGATTTTTGAGCTGTTTGCTTCAAAACACATTCACTGTAAGACACAACAACTTACTGAGAATGTACTTTATTTATGAATGCACCTATTTTGGAAACATTTTTATGAAACGGCTGACCGGTAAAACTACAACAAATCAGTAATTTAGGGCTAAAATAAGTATTTTAAAGTGTCGTTTTAAAAAAGACCGAATAAAAATAGATTGAATTATGAAAATCTTGCTAATTTACGATAGTTATTTCAGACGTAAAGCTATATTAAGGATATACCTGCCATCTTAAACCCTCTGATATGTTATTAGAATTGGATTCAAATATCCCGAACCCCTGAAATGAATGAAACCAAACGATAGTGTTAAAAGAGACACGAGAAATACTTTGAAATTAACTTAACTTTTAGATTATCTTTTGGCCACTCCTATATACTACTACTTTGTCCTCAAAGTGCTATGATTTGTTCTGTGAAAATATCAACAAAAGTTTCTAATGTCTTCAAATTGTTTTTATGATATTGTAGCTTGTCAAACTAATTTATATTCAATGTGAAAAATTTAATATTTATCATTTTTCGCGATTTATTAAAGCAGTGTGGATTTTTTTATTTATTTTGAATATTATCAATTTATTCATTCCAATGTTCAACAGAAGTCAAACGATCCACGCGGGCTCAGATTATTCCCATTTCTTGTTGAACGTCCCCACGGCCCCTCTCCTCCCCGCGGGGCTGAGGGAGGGCTGCCCGTGGCCGGACTGTTTTGGTGGCTCCACGCGGCCCGCCCCTGACGGCGTGGCGCGTCCTGACGTTTTTCCACGTCGCAGCTCGGCTGTGCCTCACAGGCGGAGTGGGCTGCGTGTGAATGCGTGTCTCCAGCTAGGCCACAGAGCGATGGCGGCGCCCGTCCTGAGAGTGTCCACCCCGAGGTGGGAGAGAATAGCCAGGCTCCTCGTCTGCCTGCTGGGGATTCTGCTCTCTCTGTACGCGTTTCACGTCGAGAGGGAAAAGGGACGGGATCCCAGCTACAAGGCCATGTGCGACATCAGCGGCTCCATCAGCTGCTCCAAAGTGTTCAGCTCAAGGTAATTTGAATTCAGCAAAGAGCGCCTTCTGTGGCGCCCACTGAGGCGCTCTGCTATTGTGGCAATCTGGGAAGGGCTGCCCCGCTTTACGCTGTCAAATGCCCCCCCAGCTAGCGTCGGGACTACCGGGGCTGAGCCGAAAAAAACGGAGGAGCAGACCACGGCCGAAGCAGTGCCGAGGGATATTTGGAGGAAAAAACAACCATGTTGAGAACAGTTAAACGCCAGCTCGGCGTTTAACAAGCAGAGCGTTAGCTTTCTGGCTAAATCAAGCTAACTTTGCTAACAGTTAGCCAAACAGCATTATAGCTAACTTTCCTCTGTCAGCCGGGGCTTGCTATTAATTAACACTGACACGTCAGGCTCGTGCCAGACGACCACATTATCAACGTTTTTAGTAATAAATGACCCACACCGGGTAGTTTGTGAAAGGCTTACACATTAGAAACACCAACTTCAGCCCTGAAGTTGATAGCTTGTGCTGACTAACGATTGTTGCTGTGTTTGCTGCTGACAGAAACAGGGGCTGTCGTGGTTAGCCCTGACTTGTTGTACTTTAAATTAGTACCCACCTGGATGCCTCCCACCTTAGCTGCCGTGCTAATGTCACCGGCTGTCAGGTTTCTTTAGGTAAACCCTGCTGGCCCACGCACAGGGACAGAGCACTGGCTCAGAGGTCAGTGGGGAGGCATCAGACATTTGGAACCAGTGAAGCTATGAACCCTCAGTTTAGCATATATCTGCTGCCACAGTGTCACTTATTTATTCATTCATGATGGGAGAACATCCAGTCTCTGAAAAAACACGATCCAAGCTGCCATACTGGTTTTGATGTGGCTATGGGACTGTAAATGAATAGACTGCACCCTTAAAACCATTGAGATCCTGAACAAAGTAATCTTCACAACCTGGAATGCAAACTAACTTCATTTTTGTTGTCTACCTCAAACAAGCTGGGAAATATAAGTTTTTTCTTCTGCAATTTCTTCTCTCTTAGCAGAGAAAAGTGCCATAGTTATGGCATTAGTTCTGCATGGTTGCATTTTTGTGTGTTGAAAGGCAGTGCTTAATATGCAACGGTTGAGCTTCTTGCATTTGCACCCCATCTTTAAACACACACCTGGAGCACGGTTGATGTTGTTGTGGGACATTGACAGCAGAGCCAAATGCTTCAGATGGATTTGCACATTAAAACATTGGAAAATTCAGTTCAAGTGATTTAAACATACAGGAGCACACCCAATCGTATCTGTAGATCTTTGTGTGTTGAGGCTCTTTGGGTTTGCCGGCATGCCTGGAGCTTTCCCACTGATTTACTGATACTCACTGATTTGTTTGGGAGTGCCACAGTGCTAACTGTACACACATGGTATGAAATGTCTAACAGATAAATGTCCATGCTAAATGTTAATTGTTGTGTAAAACTTAAAGGATGTCTCAGATCTTTGTGGGCAGGATGCAGAGGCAAAAAAACATGAGCATTTTTCTTCATAGAAGTTCAAATTCATTGAAATCTGGCTGCATTTGAAATATATTTCTGTTTTTTAAGTAAAACTGTCAATGTACTGTCAATGAACTTTTTCCCCTTTAAAAAAAACAACATTTTTACAGATCTGAAAATGAAACGGGGAGGAAAACTTAAAAATAATGAATGATTATAAGCTGTTTTTCTGCTTCTGTTCCAGGGACAGTTATGCCCTTAAGCTTTATATTAACATGTAGACGCCCTCCTGGGAATACTTCTGGGACACCTCCTCAGATTTTGCACAAATGGCTGTTTGGACTTAAAGATTAAATCATCGCGATTGATAAATTGAGTCCAGGTTTCATCAGTGATCAGATAATTGTGGGCGACGGTGTAGAAACTTTGCTCCCTGCTTCCACATTTTCGTTGTGATGAGTCAGGACTAGTTTTATCCAGGAAACATGTCCGTGCCTATAAGCCAGTATTTCCTCAATGAACAAATACAACAGATGGGGTGGGGGGTACTTTTGTTTGTTTGTTTTTTTGCCTGTCGCTGTCTCACAAACCCAGTACATGCCTCAAGGTGCTCAAAGTTTCTCCATTGGGATTTCCCAGCTTGGGATAAATAACAGTATGTCTATCTATCTATTGAATGTCTTAATCTAAAATCTGTCTTTATAGTCCAGTGTTTTTTACACTGAAATTCCTCTATGTTGCACATTTTACTCATTTAAAAAAAACTCTGAATGTGGCCACAGCTTTTATATGCAGATGTGATTCTTTTACTCAATGATGCTTTTTTTCCTGCTCTAGGTGGGGTCGAGGATTTGGCCTCTTGGGCTCAATTTTTGGGAATGACAGCGCACTGAACCAACCCAACAGTGTCTATGGGATTCTCTTTTATGCCTTTCAGCTTCTACTAGGTGAGTGTTGTTTCAGCTAGAGTAAAACAGGAGCTAAATCTCGGTAGCCTTTGCTCCAGCTACAAGCCCTGACTCAGCTCCTTTGCCTCCGAGTCGCAGCTATATTTGACCAAACCTGACTCACATGACGGGGGCATCATGTTAAATGGGACTGTACACTTAAACTGAAAGCTCACTTAAACAAACTGCAGTCGCCGCTGTTTCTTTAGGCCTTCAGTTAATTTCTGCTGACATTAGATGTCCGTACAGCTGTTCTATCGATGGCTGTGGCTGTGAGTGGCAGCAGTGCCACTCGCCGCCTGGATGCCTGTGTGCGGGGTGTTTTTCTTCTTTAGCGCTGCTTGTTTTAACTTGAACGTGTCTTCCTCCCTTTTGGTCACAGTCGCCCTCCTCCCTTTGGCGCGGTGAGGGTGTTGCTGACTCACTGGTGCTGGTTTGACATGTTTGCCTGCGGAGTGGCCTGCGGGCCGGCCCGGCCACCTGGGGGCTGGGGCAGAACAAGAGGTCCTTTTAGCCGCAGCACTTACGCTCATTTTACTAACACAAACGCGGCTCAGTTAAACCGTGCTGCCACAGCGGGCCAACATTTCCATATTAAAGACGACACCAGTTAGTCTCGGCAGTTAGAGTTCCCTCATGGGAGTCGGCATGAACCCAAACGGAGCCTAACCAGGGCTGGAATGGCCGGACGAAGCCACCGTGCAGCCTGGACATGTTGCAAAATGTGAATTTAGTCCTAAAGTTGTGGCTTCTGATGAAACACAACGCCTGGATCTTTGGACAGTCGTCCGAGTGTGAGCGGATATTTAGAAACTGCTCTATGAACGCATGTCTTCACTGTACTAACACCTGTTTCTGTGCGGGCCTTAAGAGCAAACACAGCTCTTATCTTAGCAGTTTGTTAAAAAAAATTCACAGGGAGAGTCCATGCAGGTATTTTGCTTTCGGTGGGGGAACACCAGCCCTCGGCTGTCTGTCGTGGGAATGTTGAGCCTCTGATGGAACACAAAGCTGTGCTGAAGTCTTGAGCCAAAGAGGCACCGGTCACTTCTGTGCATATAGTTTCCAAACCACCAGACCTTTTCCTGGCTTTCTGAAGATGTTTCAAAGCTGTCATTGTTCTCTATATTCAGTTCATTTGGTTAAACACTTAAACACTGAGCCAGAGGTGAAACACTAATGTGTGCTCTCATAGCAGCTCAGCAAAGAAACTATTTTGAATGGCATCTTTAGACACTTTGTTACTTGCAGCCTCTCTAACGTCAAACCATATGTTTCCACTTCTTTATCTGGATCTCTAAAAACAAGTTCACAGAGAGCAGTTTGACAGCACCAACAGAGGGCTTCCCTTAAACTTGTCCAGTGGAGGTTAAAGAAAAGGGAAAAAAACAGATGGGCAGAGCCAAAAGTGAAATCCCTAAGAAGAAAAAAAAAAAAAAAAAAACATCAGCAAAGACCTGACACAGAACCTGAAATGCATCTGAACCTCCGTCTGACCCATCTACTGTTGGTCCAAGTCAGAAATGGTCTCCATGGAAGGGCAGCGGGGAGAAAAGGCATAGCTAAGTCACACAAGCAGTGGACTAAGAATAAGAGGCAGCAGGCCTGATGGAGGGATGGATCCTCCCCAGAGCCGGGAGCTCAACATTACTGAAGTGTGAGGGATCAGAGGAGAGGACCAAAGGCAGCCGGGTTGTCCTTTAAGAAGCCTGGGGAACTGTTCCTGAGGACTCTTTAAAGAAAAACCAGTTTGTCTCTGAGGGGTCCAGACTGTGCTGTAAAATAAAGGGCCTTAAACCAAATATTCACTTTAAAGCTAGTTAAGATGCCAAAAAATCATATAAAATGTAGTATTTCCATTAGTTTGCTGCGACTCATTGTTCTCTTGGCCGGTGTTAGAAAGAAACAAAGAGTGGCTCAAGACTTCTGCACAGTCCTGTGTGAGGCAGAAACAGCGAGGTGGGTCAGACCTTCATCATGTGAGCGTCTGCTCCGCGCCGGGGCCGAGCGCCGTCACGTGGAGCTGCACCACGTGTGAAAAGAGGCCCCGAAAAGAGCAGCGTCATCGTTCTGCTGGTGTGTTGACGGTTGTCTTCTCTCCCGGCTAAGACCCAGTTTGTGTTTCTCGCCGTAGGAATGACTGTCAGTGCAATGGCCGCCCTTTTTCTCATGACGACGTCCATCTTGTCGGTGGTGGGTTCGCTCTACCTGGGCTACATCCTCTACTTTGTCCTAAAGGACTTCTGCGTCATCTGCATCACCACATACGCGCTGAACTTCATTCTCTTTACCCTCAACTACAAGCGACTGGTTTACTTGAACGAGGCCTGGAAGCAGCAGCTGCAGGCCAAGCAGGACTAAGCTGCCCGGAGAAAGGCAAGGAAAATACAACAATCACAACAAAAAAAAGAAAAGAAATGTGACCTCTGAACATTTGACTTGCCACCAGGAGACCTTGCTTCCAAAACAATGTTTTGTTCTGCTGTGTGTTCAAAAAAGAAAAAAAAAGAAGAAATTTAACTTAAATGTTGGGCCTGACATCTCATAGTTGATTGCAACCACTGAAGGATTTGTAAGTGAAAGATGATCTTTTAATTTCTCCTTGTTTAATCGTAGACTCACATAAGGGGCTGGTGGTGGGTACATGTGTGTGTGTCTGTGCGTGTGTGTGGACACGACATCCCAGCAAACGGAGGCACACACCGGTGGACAGCTCGCATTTGAACAAAAAAAGGACGGCAGAGCGGAAGAGAAAATCAGGACGATAAGCTCGAAAAGGTTAAAGGAAAAAAAAAAAGAAGCTCCTTTTTACTGCACAGCGCATCTGCACTAAAACCCAGATCCCAGAAACGGATCCTCAGATTAGAAAACACTCATTTGGTTTTGGTAGTTGGCAGATGAGGTTTGACGGCACGGCAAGGGGGGGGGTAATGATGAGAGGATTACCATTTATACCGAATAGTTTTTTTTTTCCTCCATGTTTACACTTTGTAGTACGTTTCTTTTTGATGAGGACCACTAAAAATAAAACAGGGGACTATGTGAGAATTGTGTGTAGATCAGTCAGATTGTTTGTTTTGCAACTCTGTAAATAGCTGCTGAGCAATATTCCAGGCTAGATTGTGATTTTTTTAGTGTTGACACGGAAAAATAATAATAAAATGAAATGGGGGGAAGAAAAAAACAACAACAAAAGCGAAACGGGAGGCGCGCCCCCGACGGCGGCCCCGGTCCCGGTCCAGTTGGCCGCGCGGCCCCGGTCAGCAGTCCGTCGTTCATCTGGAGGACTGTCGTTTCTTTTCTTCATGTTGTGTTAAAGCATTCCTGACCCCCCACAAGTGGGATCCATTGACTCATGTGCCTAAAGGAGCGTAAAGATGAATTACCAATTTGTTTTTCTTTTTTTCTTCTGTCAGTATTTTGGAAGGGGGGTGGGGGGGGGGGGGGGTCATGTCAACTCCCACTTTTTTTCCCCTCGCTGTTTGTACAGGCTCATGGATTTATTTTTACGACCATGACTTTGTAAATGAAGACACCTGTGAAGTGTTCCCCCCCTCCACAAGTCGCTCGAGGTAGCAAAAGGCTGCTGCACTGTGATTGTCTGCCTGAGCGCGGAGCGGCCCGGCGGCAGGAGCCCCCCCGCCCGCCCCCCCCCGGCGCCATCTGATGTCAGCTGAGCGGTAGCGGTGACCTCGTCCCGCCCAGTTACAGTTGGTGTGTGAAGACGTGGACAAAGTGACACTGTTTGTGTGAACAGCACGAAAATCCTCTCGGAAAACTGGACATTGCGTTTAAGCCATGTGTAAATTAACGTTTTTTTTTTTTTTTTTTTTTTTTTTTTTTCCTCCATCAGGAATGATGTGCAGGTTGAGTTGATCTAAACTAGAGCAGAGAGGGAGCTCAGAGCCGAGAAAGGGGAAGCGTCAGCCTTTACACCAAATGAAAAGTATCTTAACTTTCAGATCCTGACGGAGCGAATGATGGCCATTAGACAACCACACACGCCCTTTTAACAATCTGGAACAGTCATTATTTGATCCGTGTGAGTCATCTTCGGTAATAAACCATCTTATCGGGAGTTTTTTGTCACTAGTTTTCACACTTCCTCACATTTGGACCAGATTCTGTCTCCCAGGTGGCCGTCACAAAGAGCAGGCAGCGTTCAGGTGCTGACAGTAGCGGTCACATCTGTGAAAGCAGACTTCGCTTTAAGGCGGTAGCTTTGGAAATGTGCTCTGTTCCTGCATGTTGTGACCCCCTGTACGACTTGTAGAAGTTCACTGTTTGACATTTTCTAAAGCAAACATCATTTTTCCGTTTCTCTGTGGGGCGATGATATTTTAATCCTTTACTGTGACGATCTAATGTACTGTTCACCGTTTCACTATGTTTGTCCTCTGGGTTGGAGTCAACAACGTGAGTCTAACAGCTTCGATGGGCAACACTACTTATGAATAATCCACCTCGTGTTTTTTCTTTTGGGGAAAAACAAAAATCACAATGGGCCACTGAATTTACCCACAAAGCAACTTTGTGTAGTTGTTTAAATGTGCTTCTCTGAGAGAGAAAGTTTGAGTTCCCCAGTAAATGTTTATGAAGGAGTTGCTGCCTGATTTTTTGCACTGTACAGAAAAAGAAAAAAAGGCCCTGGTGGCTGTGCAGCAGAGCTACAGGTTTGTTTTTGTTTAGTTTTTATTTTTCTACCTGGATGGACACCACTGGGGTCTGCGTGGGGCTGTGCTCCCCTCACATAAAAAGGGTTCTGGTTTGAATCCCAGCTGGAGCCTCTTCTGGGAACTTTGGCTCCCACCGTCCAAAAGCATGCCCGTCAGGTGAACTGATGACCCTAAACTGACCGTTTTGAGTGTGGCGTTTCCTGTGATGGACTGGTGAACCGTCCAGCGTAGACTCCAGCCCCCCTCCCCTCCTGCTATCCTGAAAACAGGTGGATAAATATCACTGGCATAAAAGCAGTATAACCCATAATGGTCCTTAAGCTGCGGGGCTCTCCATAAACGGTGATCTCTGGTATTGCCTTGTCAGACCTCTGTCAGGGTCTTTCCTCGTTTCTACTCCCACAACCCACCACGCTGCCGTGGTTTCATCTGTTACTTTTTCCCCTTCACCAAGATCAAACTGACATAAGCAGCTTTCCTTCTGGTTAGACACATGTTTTGTTTTCTTTGACGAAGAACTGACAAATGTTCAATAGGCAGCCGCTGATGAGTCGGACCGTGTGCACCCCCCTTTACACTGAGCGGTGAAAACTCACTTTAAAGAAATGGGGGAAGGAAGGTGGAGCGTTTGACAGGCGATTTTAATGTAAAACTACTACATCCTCATAATTATTAATTTAGGCCCTGAGGTATAACTGCCATGTTAGTTGCATCACAAATGCCAACAAAAGTGCCTTCTGTTTGATCACTAGGCCTCGAGCCAAAGACGAGCAACAGTAATGCCTTGTAAAACCAAGAATGCTATCTGCAACGGGCACTTCTGCTTGCCTTCCTGAGGATGGAATCACATAAATTGGTTATTCCCAAAGACTTCAATTAAAAAACACACCGAAACAGACAAAATACCTGTCAAATCAAATCACTGGCCCCTCATTTCTCCTCTGGTTTTCTGTACTCCACAATAAGATTATTTTCTTTATTTTGTTAGCTAGACTTGTTAGCTAAGAATACACTGTTCAAATAAGATTGTAATGCCCCCTGCCCTCCCGTAATTAATTATGCCCTTTAGCTGTATAGACTGTTAACATTTGGGGTTATTTTAGTAATAAAAGAAAACGAACAAGAAAAAAAAACTAAAAAAAAAAAAAAAGTTGAGGGGTTGGAGGGCTCGGAATCCACGTGTTGGCGGAAAATGTTTATTAAAATTCTTTGTGGAGGAAAAACTCACTGGGTTTGCTTCTGTATTGCCAAATATGTTTTAAAATGCTGTATTTTCTTACATGGAAAAGTGTTACATGAATGGTAGGAGGGTGCGAAAAAAAAGAAAAAAAAACAAAACACAATTTTTGTTTAAAATCGAGCTTACCTTAAGGAGAAAACTGTGGAGCAGATTGACATGAGCAAATTTTTAACTGTCATTGTCATGCAGAAATGATCTACCATTAAAACATTCCCTCTGAAACCGTTTGTCACTGAAACTTATTGGGAATTGGTTCATAATAATGACTAATCTGAAAAGAGGGGCAGAACTTCTTGGAAAATATATGAATGGGTTTGTAATCAAATAATTACACATTCAGATAAAGTTGACGGAACGCCTTTTGCTCCCGCTGTTATATTTATGTACTATTTTTATTTCCCCCCTTTTTGTTGCCCTTCCTGACGCTTTAAAATGAGCCGATATTCTTCTTAATCTGTCAAAATGTCTCACTTTAAAATTTTTAAGTTTTCTGTGCTCTATTGTGAATAAATTGATAATAAATTGTTTATTTTTATTTCCATTTTAAACAGCCTCTCAGCCTTTTTGGAATCGGTGCTGTACTTGGACCAGACAGAGTTGACTGTCTAAACTTTGAGTGATTGTGGGGCCATATTCTGATCATACACCTTTTATTATTGTGTAATACATGTGGATATTATTTAAAAGGCCCATAAACAGCTGTGCTGATAGATTCTGTAGTAAGTTTGACATTTTTTTAAATGTAAATGTCGACAGTATCCTATAAATAAGGTCTCTGTATGTCTCTGTATGACACAAAGGTCAATCCTGTGACGAGGCAGCGTTGCTGATAGTGAGGAGTCCGATTAGGCTGATCAGGCCACAGTCAGCAGTGGTCACGTCACTTAACCCTTCAAACTGCTCCAAACGTTGCGCCACAGAAGACTGAGGACAGGTCAAGAGAAAAAGAGTGTGCAGGAAATGTAAAAATGATGCCCGCATTTTGTCTTTTTAGGTACATTTCCTTTATTGTCTCGTCCGAAACGTATCGAGCTGTTTCACTGTTTGTATTCACTTAGAAAAATAAACATTTCTCATCTGATTCAGCCTTGAAACTGTAGTTATCATTACACAAAGAAAACATCTGTCTAAAATCATGTTTAAAAAATAATGTTTTAAAAATTAAGAGAAAAATGTTGAAACTGTTCTTCTGTTTCTGCACAATGAGCACAGCCTGACGTCAGACTGTTTTTTACCTCCATTAAAATGCTGCTCTAAGACGTGTGAAACGAGCAGAGAGGCAGCTCTCATGCCAGCTATGCTGGCATCAAATTGTTGGAGAAAGATTTAGTCATTCTCCTTTTCCCATAAGCAGTAGAACATCCTGTATGAAAGAACAAACCCCTCCACTGGCTCACCTGGACTGGCTTTTAAACCGGCACATATGTTTAGCTGTGTGTTTGTGGTGCTGGGAACGATGACCACGGTGGTAAATGGTTTTGGTTTAATGCCGTTTTATCTGTTACAGGAGGTTACGGTTATCGAGCAAATATAGACCGAAAGGTGCAGACTCTGCCCTCACTTTAGGGTATTCATGTCTAACACTGCAAGAGACTTACCCGGTGTTAAACCACAGGCAGATTGATCAACACCAATCAGCCATAACATTATGACCACCTGCCTAACATTTCACACATAAAGGTCAAATGGACATTTTCCACTCATGCCTACTTAGCTTTACTCAACTTTGAGGTTTTCCCAGGAGAATACTGGATAGAGAGTAAGAGGTCATAATGTTATGGCCAAAACCCTCTTTGTTGACTTGTGTGGGTTTAAGATTTGAGAATTAATCTATAAATTAAAATAATTTTCATAGTTCTAATTAATTGAACTTAAGTTAAACTTAAGTTTAATGATAAAGCCTTTGAATTAAAGCTCTAAATCTAAACCTTGGAATGTTGATGTCAGCTGTACTGTAATGACACTGTAATATTGTGCAAACATGATTTGATCTTACAGCTTACATGAGTTTGAGCAGATGCCTTAAACGCCGGGTTCAAAGTGCACAGGGGTACTTGGTCCAGTAGGGGAGTCTTCCCGTTTCATTTGCCAGCCTCCAGTACCGCTCCTTCAGGATGAAAGCCGCTGCTTTGGGTTGTCTTTGGCGGCTGAAAATACCCTTCTTGTTCCCCACCACGCGAGTGATCCCTGCAACAGACAGACGGCGGGTTACCAACCAACAACAGAGGTGTTTTTCAATCTGGATAACATGATAAAGATGTGAGGAGATTCTTTCATTGTAAATTCAATATTTGAGTCAGAAGAAGGTAAAAATAGATGGCTATTTCAGAGCTGGCTTTGACATTTTGAAATGGTACCAAGGCCAGCGAGATGTCTGATACCTACAAAAAGGTATTTTTAAAGCAACAACTAGATTTGCCTTGCTTTAATTTTTTTCACAAAAAAAAAAGCATTTTTCTACATTATAATTAAATGTGTGTGATTTAGATCCTCAACACTGAACTTTATTTTAACTAGTTATTTTTTGTAATGAATGAATGCATTGTGCTCAAACATTTCCTGCATATGGACAGCTCATGTTAAAAAAAAGAAAAAGAAAAAAAAGTCTGGTCACAGGAATTAAGAAATGTAGGAAACTGGCAAACGTTTGACTTCTGTTAACAGACAAACTAAACAACCACAACAAGGAAGAGAGATTTTTTATCTTCTTAGGCAGGAAATAAAGTGAACAGCCAATGGCCTGAGATACCAGCTGGTCAAACTGGAAGCTGCGCACAACTTACCTTGAGTGGTCATGAAGTCGGCGAAGTTCCAGATGAGCTCGCCGATAACGTAGTGCTTCCTCTTCTGGTCGAACACGTCGTGGTAGCTCTGCAGGACGATTTTCTGGTACTCCTCAGTGAACATCAAGGGGGGGTCCTGAAAGTGAGAAGGGAGTTCGTTTTCCTGGTTTGTTCGGTTAAAAGTGTGAGAGCCGCTGCAGCTTCAGGATCCCTCGTAAACGTTAGGCCACACAAACTGCAGGTGGGATGTGCTGGTGTGTGAGTCCTCACGCTGTGGACCCCCGGCACCGCGTCTGCTCCGTATTCACTCTGGATGATGGGCTTCTTGTACTTTCCATACCAGTTCTCAAACTGAGTGTTGAGCTGGATAGGGATGACCTCCACGTGGCCGGGGTCATGGTACCAGGAGAAGTAGCTGTTCACGCAGACTACATCCACAAAGGCAGCCTGAGAGGGACGGCACAAACACACACCCAATCCTGTCAGTTTCAGCCAGACACTTTCTGAAGCATTTTCTCGAAGGTCTGCAGTTGATAATATGGCTTTTTATTTCTTGTTGTGATGCGTAGTCATGGTAACAGGAAACTTTTAACCATATGCAGTTGCTAACTGATCTCTCCCCAAAAAAAAAAAAAAAAAAGAGGGAGTTTAAAGCATTTTCCGAAATTCACAATTACTTTCTTAAGGTCACGTGTCAAATGTAGTCCAGAAAATGATTATGCTCTGGAGGTTTTCTCTGTAATATGCAGTAAAATGGTGAAAGTAAGGCTCACTCACCCCTTTGTCTCTTGCAAAGTTACTGTCTGTGATATAGGTGACCGGGCGGGTGGGGTCCAGAGATTTGGTGTGTTTTATCACAGTCCTGTAGAGCGAGAAGTGAGAAGGGGTTCATTCTCATATCAAATGAAGTTTTGCACTGTTTTGCCGCTGAGGCGACAGCACATGTCTGTGCAGGTCGACTCGGGGCTCCAGGGGTGCTGCAGGCCCAGCCCCAGCTGTTAGAGGACAGCTTTTCACTAGTCCGACTGCATTTTCAACATGACAGACAGGGCAGAGCGGGACTGTAAGTCAGCCGATATCACAACAAGAGATGCAGAAGTTCGGGGGTACTGAGAAGGGCAAATTCCCTCTGATGTTTTGTGTTTTCACAACATCGATCAGCAAAACATTCACAAAACCAAGTGAGTCCTCGTACATATTTGTGTGGTTATTTCAGCAGATTATTGTTCAAAATACAAAGCACAGCAAAAATCATGAGCGCTTACTTGAAATAGTGTTCAGCGGGAGGCATCTCTGCCGCGGGCTCGTTGGCCACCGACCACATCACCACGGACGGGTGGTTCTTGTCCCGGCGCACGAGCTCGTCCATGACCACCAGGTGGTGTTCCAGGGAGGCGTTTCCGAAGCTGCGGCTAAAAGGCAAAGCACACGGCTCAGGAGGACAGTCCGACAAACCCTCACATGAAGAGTCCCCCTGCAACTTCTCGGCCAGCAAAGAAATATTTCTGTTCCTGTCATAACTTAAAAAACCCATTGAAAAAGATTCAAAGAGTCTTTGACTGCTCGGAAAGGGTGATGGTAGCTCAGGATTTTCGAACATTACAAAACAAGATCCGACACAAGATGTGTGGTGTGCGACTCTGCCCGGATCGCCCAGTGTGATCTGGAGTCCCTCAGACGGACGGCAGGTGTCGGCCGACCCCTTAAAAAAACCCAGAGTGAGCGCAGACACTCACATGTCTTTGATGCCCACCCCAGGGCACTCGTCTATCACCACGATGCCGTGGCGGTCACACATCTGCAGGATCTCCTCAGCATACGGGTAGTGGCTGGTGCGGAAGGAGTTGGCCCCCAGCCACTTCAGCAAGTTAAAGTCCTTCACTATCAGGGGCCAGTCCAGGCCTTTACCTCGAATCTACAAAAAAACAGGAGGATGGAAAAGAGGGTGTGAGTTTAGTGAATAACATTAAATAATAATAGTAACAAATTTCTAACTGTGAGTGTTACAGTTAATTTTTAGGTTCAGCTGAATGTCATGAGTCAGGTGTGAAGCCTTAGTTTCCTCTTGTTCTACTCACATCAGAGTCCTCGTGCTTATTGACCCCGTGGAAATAAAAGGGCTTGTTGTTGATGAGGAACTGCGTGCTGGTGACGCTGACTGTGCGGATGCCCACTGGTAAAGCGTAAACATCCTCGTATGTCGCCCTCTCATCAGCTGCCGTAACACGAACCTGGATGTGAAAATCCTCACTGAGACAGTGGTCTTACAGAAAATCCTCTTAATATTTAAGCTTTGATATGAAATTGTCGGAGGTCCTTCCAGCTGGACATTAAGCCGCTGAATGCTGGACCAGAAACAGTGAAGTCATGTGCTCCTACCTCCATGGAGTAGAGATAACCCGGGTTCTCGTGCATCAGGTACGGCCACCACAGCTTCACATCTCCCACTTTGAGCACTCCTGAAGGCTCGGTGGAGGAGGCCACACAGTGGCCTTCTCTGTCCATCAAAGTGACTTTCATAGTGGCTGTGGATGCACCCTTCACTGACACGTTGTATTTGACCAGTCCTAAAAATCAGAGCAAATGGCACAAAAGATTAAATTCAGCTTTACATTCTGTGACGCCACGTCAACTTTTATAGAGGCTAAGTGAAGATCGGAATTTAAATCAAAGCCATTTACTGTCATATGTCCACATAACCTTTGACAATTATATTTTCTTTTAGATGCCTTCCAGTTTTCTGTCTGTTAGCCCCAATGACCAAAATGGCACACAATGGTACACAATGGCAAAGGTAAAATGAATAGCTTTGGCAGAGGTCTGTGCATTTGGATCTCTTCTATTTTACCAGTGCTATCCAAGAAGTCGGTCACCACCGTGATGTCGTCCACATACGCTTTAGGTGTGGTGTACAGCAGCACAGGGCGATGTATCCCAGCATAGTTGAAGAAATCAAAGGCAATACTCTGCACAAAAAACCCATCCGGATACCTGTAAAACAATTAGACTGTGATGTGGGAACGAGCTTGTAGCAGCAATACTGTTTTTTAGTCTAACTTCAGCTGTGCTTTTTAATGGCAGATAAACACTGATTTTATTTTTTTAAAATATGAATTACCCTATTCATTAACTGTGCTGCAGTTATAATTCTGATAAGTAGTTTAAAAAAGAGCTTACTTGGTGGGGTCATTCAAGTGCTGGATGCTGCCTGGGGGGAGCGTTTGCAGGGTCAGGGTGTTGTTGACTGCGATGGTGATCCTGCAGGGCATGGTCGGGTCCTTTCGGATTAAACTGCTGATGTCGGCCTCGAAGGGAAGATGACCACCGGCGTGCTCCATCACCTCCACCCCATTCACCCACTGCAAAACGTGAGCAGGGCCAAGGCCTTAGAAAGGGAGGTGATGGTTTTCACTGTCTGCCAGTGTGCTGTACTCACCACAACCGAATAATAGTGAGCGCTTCCCACTCTGAGAACCACCCGTGTGCCCTCATCTGTGATCCAGCGAGCAGGCAGCACCACCTCCCGCTCGTACCACACCCAGCCGATGAAATTTCTCAGAGTGGGGTCCTGCGTGATGTCGTTGTAGCTGGCAGGAACTGGCATGTCAATCACAGGGCCCGTCTGGAGAAGGTGAATAAGAAGGTTGCACTTATTTGTGAGCAGGCAGATATATAATATTAGTCAATTCTGTCCACAGTATGCCATGACCACAGCACAATGTTGGGTATTATCTCACAGAATACGTCTACTTAAAACCAAAGATGCAAAGCAGTGAGTTTATTAAAACTTTTGGACACTATTTTTCTCTATAATAGGTCAACATTTGGGCTTTTTGAAATTTTTCCTAATGAAATTGCTTGAATAACCTTTCCCTAAATACTAAACAAGGCCTAATTAACTTTCTAAAAGTGGAGTAATTCCAAATTTGTATGCTAAGCAGATTTAAAATCACGTTTCCGGGCTTATAGAACTAACTTCATGTTGTTTATATGTCCTGGTTTACAGGCAAAGAGAAAAATGTAGTTTATTGCAGCTTCCAGACGTGGGCTGACTCGACCGGTTTTAACTGTCAAACATATGAGGTAAGCAGTTTTATTTCGTACGAACTGCAGCAGTCCTTCTCACCTCTGCCAGGCGGCTTTTGTACCAGGCCCTTTCGAAACCCTGGTTCCTATTTGAGGACTTATCAGCCCTGAAGACCCACAGCCCGTTCAGCTCCTTCACCTCCCTGGAGGAGGACTCCCGGGGGTAGAGCATGCCCGAGTCCAGCAGCAGCGCCACGTCAAACACGGACAGAAGCCACAAAACACGGAGGCCCCCGAGCTTCTCCGGAGAACCCATTTTTGTCAACTTTCCCACTGTGCACGCTGAAAGCAGTAGTTTCCTGGCTCATTCAGTCACGTGATACTTTAGTTCCCACGTGACCGCAGAGCTGCAATTCTAATGTCTACTTAGGGTACTGTTGGAAATATCTAAACCAAACCGAGGATCAAACTACACACTATACAAAAATAGTAAATATGTAGCTTATAATGAATTTCAGATTATTTTGCACGAGCAAATTACCCAGAGAAAACACGTTGTGTTATTTATTTATTTAGTTATTTATAGCGTTGCCAACGTTACTCCAAACCTAATTTTATTTTTTTTACTTGAATGTAGCACATATTCTTACTTATTTTCTCCCATTTTATTCGCTGAAATGTAGTACCATTTAAAGAAAGTAAGGAATATATGAACAAAATGTAAATTATAAGACGAGGATAGACCTACGTGATTTTCCTCGCAAACTTCCCTCAGTATCACGTACTTTACACAAGATGGCGCCAGACACTAACCCTTGGATGTCAACGGCAGACCAGACGTCTTTATGAGGCGTCACTTCACTGAAATGGGAAATTGAGGTAAATGTCGCACCCATCTCCATTCTTATTTCTCATAACCCCCTCTACATTCTTACTACATGGGGGAAATGCCATGTGTTTTCGTGAACGGAAATACATCGAGTACCTTTTCCGAAAGTTAACAGTGCAGAGGAGATTAATATCGCGACTATTGTCCTCCCGTTATTAAACTCGTTTCTGCTACCTGGAAAGGTTGAATGAATCATAAATGTATCACTGGCTCCATTCCTTCATATTGCTAGTCTGTATCCTGTTTTGTGCAGATCTCTGAGCCTGACTCACATTTTTAAAGAATATATTTATCATATTCTCTTACTAAACTTTTCTACTGTCAATGAAGTGTTGATGTGCTTTTTTGAGGAAGAAATAAATAAAAACAAATGTCTTCCCAATCTGAAAAGCTTTTAAGCTTCCTACAAACTGAGAGGAGCAATGGTATACAAGAGAATGGGATTTTTCATATCTGGTTACCCAAAATACAAATTTTACTATCTGTTTGAAGCACAAGCATGGCAATTTGTAACAAAGTGCTATATAGAATGATAAACTCATCCAAACAAACCATAACACTGTCATCTTCCTATAATTAATGTAAGGTTAATGGTGGGTTCAGTCTTAATTTCCTGTCTGAAGTCTGTCTCGAGTTGTTTCCCACCCATTCATTAAGGATGTTCCAGATTTAAGGTAGTTTAAATCCAGTTTTGAGTGATCACATCTTCTAGTTCCCACCACAAGCCATTTATGCTGTGTTCAGCATATCTGTTCTTGAATTTAAAGATGATTTAATTTGAAAGCATGTTAAAGATTGTTTCCACAGTCATTTATAAAATCTTGTGCTCTGAGCTAAAAATCCCAGAAGGCAAAGTTGTTATCTGATTCTTGACCATTATTTGAGCCATGTTTCATTCATTCATGTGAGACCATAGTGTAATGTTTTATAAGAAGCCCCTGGTGGTTGTGACATGCCACACAGAATTACAAATAGCTCTGCGACCTGTTCAGATCAGCCTCTCCATTCCACATCACCACACAAGAAGCAATGTTTCCTCTCACTTTATAACAATAGCACATATTAAATCTCCACACTGTTTTAAACTTCCTGAAAAACCTGACAAGTCTCCAGAATTTTGTGCAGAATGGTGGAAACCCATCATTCCTGCTTCTCATACTGTATTATTTATGATATCTGTGACTGGAGAATTAACATCACAGACATATGTTTCCTTTAGAAAATTTTAAATCAGATCAGTTGATCAGATCTTGGTTGACCTGCTGATTTACCTCTTCCTATTTTTAAACATCACTTTGTCACAGTGCAAAAAATGAGAAACAAGTCTGCAGTGAAAATATTTTCGAGAGGGTTTTAATTCCGGCATTATTGATGAGTAAACAAAGGGAAGTGTGAAATAAACAGGGCAATAACAAAGATGAAAAGAGGGGAAGTTTTACAAATGCTGGAAATTTTGCTGGTATTTACAGCCCCACTTTGGCCCTGTCTCCACCACATCAGACCAGCTCCGACGGATGAAATAACATCAGACTGCATGTTATTTAAAAATCATAACACAGTGAGTGCAACAGGCTGCTCTGTGAGCAACCCAAACTGAACATTCAGTGTGGGAGATCATATGGTTTCCAACCCATCTCACAATGTGTGTTTTGAACAGACAAAGTTAATAATGGGACTTTTTTTCCCCCCGTTGATAACATCCTGGAAATCGGTGGCAGTTTATTTCTGGTCTTTTATTTGAATGGGCCTAATAGTAGTAATCCAGTTATTACCAGAAGCAGGCCGCTAATTAACTGGTTCCACTGCAGTGTGGACGCATCTGAATGTTTCCCGTTGTACACGCTGCATCCTGTTCCTTTTTATTGTAGATATTGTTTTCTGTGCTCGGATAAACATTCAGAGACGCATCTGATAAGCACTGAGAATTGTGGGGTTGCACCGCTGAAACCTCCGGGCGACAACCCCGGCCAACACAGAGGGGAGGATATTACTTCAGTTAGTTATTTGTGCTGTAAGATTCGAGGAAATAAGATGCAGCTGACAATGAGGGGAGCCTGTGCCTTTTACTGGTTGTCCCTGTCTATGGCGTGGGTCAGAGCAGGAAGTAGGATGGCTGTCATTTGGCAAGTGCACAGTGAACATGTGTTACAAGGTGGAACCGGTCAACGAGGCAGCCTGTGGCGCACTCTGCTCCTCGCTCCACATCCTTCAGTCGGCGGCAGCGCCGGAAACATTTGATCGTTTTTAAATGCTGCAGAAACGGTCCCAAAGAAGTTAAAATGTTGTTCACATTATCATCATGCAGGAAAATAAAAAACAGAATTCTCGGCCCTGACTTACACCGGCCACTAATGAACCGAGGGTTCAAGCTCTAGAGTTGAGAATTAGAGCTTAAATGGGTGTGTGAATGAGTTACTAAAGAGTTTGATATGCAGGAAGCATTCATCCATGGCCGTCTTTTATTTAACCTTCTGCCTAAAGGAATCCACAGCACATGCTGGTGGCCAAAATGTTGCCCGTTGTTATCAGCGAGAACCATTCTATTCTGTTTAACTGCGCTCAGTTTAAAAATGTAGCTTGCGTCTTCTCCTTCACCTGAAGATACGAGTGTGGAGCAGTTAAACTGGAAGCTCAGATAAAGGTGTAGCTGCACCGGGGGTCCTGGGAGGCTCAGTCTGACGACAGTAGCAGCAGATTGTCTGTGTGGGCGAATGCATGACGGATAGGAAGTCATTTCTTTACTCCCGCTGTGTCTCCCTCTGTGCCTGCGACTCACACTGCCAAAGCCCCGGCTGTGATCAGGAGCTTCAAAAATCCTCACCACCTCGGTGCTTTCCTCCTCGCTCCATTAATGGCTGCTCTCTTGCAGTAATGCCGAGTTTGAGGAGGTAACACGCCGGTTATTGCAGCTGCATCTGGGCGAGGGGCGAGGCAGGTTTTGTCACGTCTGGTGTCTCGTCATGTCCTGATTACCAATTGTGTGCACCTGGGGTTCCCCTTCCTCGTGTGTTTAAATAGTCCTCGTTTCCCCTTGTCTGGTGCGGGGTCGTTCTTGTCTTCTTGCCTTGTCTCTTGTCCTTTCGTCCGTCGTCACCCCCACGCCAGGTTTGTTTCGTTATAGTTCTGCCACAGCCACAGTCATAGTCACGTTTTGTCATAGTCTTGTTAATCTTTATTTTGTTACTTTGTCATAGTTTTTCCACAGTCTTGTTTGCTTGCTTTGATACTTTGCCCACAGTTTGCCACAGCTTTGTTTTGTACTTTGTCTGGACATTCACCCTGTTTGTACAATAAACCTTGTTTTCCCTTCATTCCGCGACTGAGTCCTCCCTCAAGACCCACCTCCCTGACAGGTTTTCAGCTTGCCATCTGTCAAAGAGAGTGTCAGATTTGGGAATCATATTGGAGCTTTGTCCTGTAATTGCATTGTTATGAAGTAATGAGAGTTAATCAGGACATGAAATAACAGAAGTCGGGTGCAGGCTGCTTCCAACAGCAGCTCATCACACCATCAGTAACCCATTACATCCTCAGCTCTGGGGGTACACACACACACAAATACCTCTTCGATCAATCTTAAATCCAATTTCCAATTTTCTCCCTGTCCAAACAGGGTAACAAAAAAAAGATGTAATGGCTGGACTGGAGCCGATGTTCGGTTTTATTTTCAACGCACGTTAGCTGAAGACAGCTGTGGAGGGAAATAGCTGTCGTGGGAGCAGGACTGAGCAGAGTCCACCTGTGTGGATTAATGTGCCATCTTTTTAGTGGCAGGAATTAGTCACATGTTGGTATCAAACCTGGTTATTCTTTACTAAAGGACCAAAGGACAACCTGCTTTTGTTTTTCAGTTTAGAACATTTGAGAAGGATACAACTTGCACATCGATGGGAGGCAGATCCATTTTTAGAACATCTATTTGTCTCTTTCCCCCTCCTTGTCTTTGTTCTGGATTTGCCAGAGTGACGATGCTCCGTGTAAGGCAGAGCTGAAGGGGAGGGGAGCTGGAGAGAAGAGGAGAAAATTAACAGGCATTCCTCTCATCTTTCTCTGTTCTCATGTGGAAATGTGAGTGCTGAATAATTTATGGCTTGTGGGAGGTGAATAATGAGTCTGTGTGTGCGTGATTAAAGGATGCATACTGATGAGCTGGAGTGTAAGTGTGAGAGGAGGACTTCCCCCGCTGTGTGATCTCTCACCTGTCTCTCCAACACAGAAGAAGAATCTGTGAAATTTACTGGTGGGAGAGCACAGATACACTCCATGTGCTCAAATGGAGCTGTCAGTTCAGTTTTACTGTTGCAAGCACAGCATAACATAAATACATACCATTCATGTCATGCATTTTTTAGCTCTCACTCTCCAGATGGATAAAACTGAATCCATTTTCAGAGATGGTTAACGACATCTTTCTGCAGCACCAGGCAGAGCTGGGGTTTCCACACCAGAGCTATTGCTTCTGATGCTCATGTCCTCCCCCCGAACAC